ATTCTTGATATTAAGTCCTCATCAGTAGTACTGCAAATCTGTTTTGAGTTGCATGCTATGGCTCTTTCTAGTTTTCTCCAAATCAAGATTAGTAGGTCTGAAAAATATGAATCAAACCTTGAGATTCATAGCTCAAATTTCAACTAGAATATATGGCTCTCTCTCTCTACTCTTGTTAGCAGCAATATGTTGCACTGTTGAAACCCTAGCTATCTTGTGAAAGGATTTCATTTTCGTTCTTCTAATACGCCCGTTATATATATATATATATATATATATATCAATTTTGTTATATGAATACCTATAGAAATGTTGATCAAATTAACAAAGTAAGAAATGTGATTGCTAATTATGAGATTAACCTATGAATTGTGAAGTGTGTATATTTTATGTTACCCGTACTTTGAGGTATATCTTTTATCATATCAAACGTAGTGATGAGAAGTCCACTACCCCCAAGTTTCAGGGGTTACAAAACTCTGTTTGATGTATAATCCTTCCATAGAAAGGGGAAGTGGTTTTCTACTATGAATTTCTTCCTCAATAAAACCCCCAGAAGGATTTTTCACAGGATAGATTAATTACTGTATGTATATACTTTCGAGGCATATGCATTATTCATAATTTCAGACAATTGCTTTAGGTATTAATTGCCAGACTAGGTATTATATTAAGGGTACCCAATTTCTTAATTTTGACTTGTATTATATATGAACCTCACGTACTTGTAGGGTAGATTGAGATTTTGGCTAGCTAGCTGAAAATAGTGTGTTGCTCAGTTCTGAACTAATTAACGAAGATTAGCGGTGCCTATTACGATTTACTAATTTTTAGCTTGGCTGAAAACTACTTGGATCAAAAGCCAGAACACATTAATATGCATGGCTATGAGTGCTGTGTTGTGTCCATACAATCAGATTACTTTGTGTGAAACGGGAAAAACACTGTTTTGCTATCTCCAACCAATCACTGACTATCATGTGAAAAAGTTATCACGTATAACATTGCCGTGCTTGGCCAGAAATAGCAAAACAATGTTATCCCTATTTCACACAAGTGTTTCTCACATACAATTCTCTAACAATGACAGCTTTTTTGCCCTTCAAGAAGCTAAAAATAAAATTTTCAAAAAGGGGGGTAAATTTTGGTCTTGCTTCCTCAGTCAAAACTCCCGATTCAATTGGATCAAAATCCTTAGTAGATCCAACCCAGGAAGGTTGCACCATATAGGTCCATAAGCATAGTAGCAATGAAAGCCCATTCAAACTATCCAAGGCATCTCACCCATAAAGAAAAAAAAATTAAAACGAGGCAAATTAGTGGCCAAAATAGACAAAATCTTATGTTTGTTGGAGAAGGACCAATCGAATTGTAGCTGGTTTTTTAAGGCTAAAAAAGAGAATGTCCAATAATACATCATTCAAAATCAAGTTTTGTTTCAACAAAATTATTGCCGAACTACCCACAAAACAAAAAAAATTAATTTGAAAAAAATGAACACATTGATTGATTCATTTCTTTAGAATGAGAAGACAAAATCATCCACATTGCAACTTTAGAGTGAAGTATACAAAAGTACACTTGAAAAGTTAAAAACCCCTCAAAGGAAAATAAAAAACACAAAGCACACAACAAGAAGAAGATTGGCCATTTACGCACAAGACGCAGCAGCACAAAGCTCAATGATGTAATTTAAATCATGCAGCACCCAAACTTTCTTTTCTTCTTCATCATCTTCTTCTTTTCCATCTTTTTCTTTGTCGTAAAACTGCAGAAGTGTCAATAATTCTTTTTTTTTTAAAGTAGAAACGGCACGAACATGTTGTAAAGAGACAATTACACAGGGCCCCACCTTACATCGGATGGCTTACCTTCCACGTGTGTGTGTATCTGTAGTCAACAGTCAAACTTTTGGTATGTTTTTTAAACCCCAGAGGCAATGCCCCCTCATGCTTTTCTTTAGCTTAGTTCACAAGTTCAAGTTTCAACCTTTCAACTTTCTTTATCATTTTTTACCTTACTCGATTTCATTTTTTATTGCACCCAAAATTATATGCTCTCTCATTTCCCTTTTTTTTTAATTTAAAAAAAGGCTTCTACAAAACTACCTTTAAGAACTATTGGTTACAAATTTAAAAAAAATAGAAACTCATGTCATGTCATTATGTCTAGATTTGATTATGACTAGCGAACACCTTGTTTTTGGCGACACTTGTGCCACAATATTGATCTGTTTTTTGACCAACAACGACAAAATTAATGGTAGTTAAGAAGGATGTATTTTAAGAATTATAAGGGGTCGTAATAAAAATTTCCAAATTTAAATAAAACCTTTGTATGTGGGAAGCATTTGTCAAGATTCAAACTCATATTATAGCTAGCATGTGCTCTTCATTTCTTCTCCTTTTAAGAAGAAAACTATGGCAAGGAAGAGAGAGACCACACTACTTTTTGAAGCTCTTAGTTTTCTTCTCCTCTATTTTCTACCAAAGTTCAAATTTTTCTTGTCTTCTTTTTTGGTTCTCAGCTCACCTTTTTGGCAAAAGCTTTGTCGATTTGAAGTACTCACATTCAATGATCGCTCATCACCCAAATATTTTATTATTAATTGTTTCTGATTTTTTTTTTTAAAGTTGAACTGATGGAGTGGTGAGGGTCGAAGTCGATGTGTACATATGTTCTACAGGTGCATTTTCTATATTTTATATATATATTTATTTTCCACAGTGCATGCAATCGTTTGTTTTAGTGGACACAAAGCATTTGTTTAATGCCAGAGGCAGAGACAAAGTATGAAAGTGGTTACAGGCCGCTTGACTGGACTGGCTGCGAATTTAGTTTCTACGCCACAGTTATGGGCCCGAAGAAATTATAATCCATTATTTTATCCATTTAACTGTGGCCTCACAGCCATTATTTATTTAATTTCCATGAACCCTAATTTTTTTTAAAAAAATATCTTGTGAATTTATTTTTTGTTGTTGCACACATCTGAAAGGCTAATTGGATGTATAGATTCTTGGTCAAATGTCAAATAGCGTTGTGGATCATTGTGTAGTATCTACTTTGTTGGACATTAAAAGATGACGGGATTCGAATTTGTGACATCTTTTAACATTAAAAAGAAAAATATTACTAAATTAATATTGATAGGATCATTTTTAACCTGATGATAAGAAGGCCATCAATCTTTTCATAGATGGGAAAGGTTAGGCTAGTTTCGATTAAAGATTAATATGTCTTAACTTGCTTACAAATAATTATAAGGTTTGGAGAACCAAACACAACACTTTGCCTAATTGGTTTGACAAATTAAAGTTGCCGAGCTGCTAACTAATGATGCAGTTCTGTGCATTCAATCAAGGGGACACTTTGTCTATATATAGGAATACAAAATCATAAGTATGATAATATTTAAATTAGATTAGAGTACTAATGTTAGGTGAACTTATTAGAACAAAAACCTCAAGCTAACAAGTGGGGCCATTAACTACTCACATCAAGGCTTAAGCGTGTGTTTAGCCTTTAACTACAATCATACCATTCACTTGATCTTCCCCTAATCAATCACAATGTCAAACCCTAGCTCCTAGGGGATGTATAATAAGAGCATCTCCAAGAGTAGTAACAAATTAAATTTTGTTGACTTATATGGCAATTTAAAAAAGGTTTATTTGCTACTGGAATAATTTTTACTCCAACAGACTCTTCCATTCTATAAATACAATATCATGGAAAATAATGAAAAATATGAAAATAAGTGAAAAATGTATTATGTATTTATTATCTGAAAAGAAAAAATGTATGTTTTTAACATTTTCAAAGTATGTTTTGTTTTTCCATAGTAAATTTAATTGATTTGAAGAGCCAACTTACCAATCCTAAAGAGAGAGAGAGAGAGAGAGAGAGAGAGAAAAGAGGTTGCAACTTTGATGACTGAGTTTAACAAGGGTGTGGGAGAGATTTTTTATGATGTGACTCACCTATTTGAGCATCCAAAAGTGATTGAAGAGGCCATTGGAGATGCTCGAAGAGTCCATTAACATTGAGAGAAAGCTCCTAAATTTATATTTGATAGATTTAGTGTGTTTTCAAATATAAGCAATATTTGGAAAGAGAGAATCGAACGGGACTTGAGGTGCATCTATTTAGCAACATGGTAGATAAGCTACATGGGTGCAGTTATTTATTTAATTTTCCCAATTAGTAATGACTAATGCTATCAAGGAGATGTACTAATCATCTTGATTGAGAAGGAAACAATTAACTAATCTTGGGATTCCCAGGAATATTGAAGGTGTAGATGTCTCATATACCTTTGCATGCCATTGCAAAATCATATAGAATAGAATAGATATTAGACACCATTTGTAACTAGAGGCACCATTAGGTTCAAATTTAAACACATGTTTAATTTTTATTTCTGCAATTGTACTTGAACCTTAGCTAAACCCATGGAAAATAGGTTAAGATATTTAAATTGTAGAGTGCTCAAACGTATCATCATTTGTATTTAACGGAGGATGGGAGGACAATAGTTAAACTTTTGTGTTGAAGGTAGCATCAAATGCCCTATCACTGATGTTATAAGCCAGGCCAAACGTACCATTGTTGAATTTGATAAGGAAAGATGCAATTAACAATTCAGGATGACTCGGATTTCAAGGTTTTTCTTCAATAATGTCAATGTGGTGTACTCTAATATAGTCACTCAATAAAGACTACATTATCTTAGTAAGATTAAAGTTGATTATTTCAATTAGCAAAGTAATTTATGCACCTGAAGTACTAATTAATAATTCTAGTATATAGCAGACAGAGAGAGAGAGAGAGAGAGAGAGGAGAGAGAGAGAGAGAGAGGTCATTTTATGACTTAAGGTGCTAATTTCTTGTTCTTCAAACAAAAAGACAAGCTCAGTATATACATCTTTGGGCATAGCACATCTGAAAGACCAGTCATATGACTCATAATCTTGAAAGAAACATGATGACAGATTGATTCAGTTTCTCATCATTCTGAGGGCCAGTGCTTGAAGCTCCCCCAAGTCACCATTGTATGCTCTCTTCTTAGAACAAGCTTGGTATGAGAAGTCATCTCTGCTGCTTTGTATCTCCTGCATATTCATAGCAATATCACTGCAGTTGTGGTCAATGGATTCAAGCGAGCTCTGAGGTGAAATAGGATTCATGTAACTTGGATAATTTGGAAAGTTTGTGACTCCATTCACATTCCCTGGCCACTGAGTGCTCTCTATGTTCCTTGAATCAACAAGGCTCTGGTGAGCCACTTGAGCCTTTACTTGCATCAATTGTGCTTGCAAACATGCCACCTATGAGTGATCAATAGTAATTGTTAGACCAAGATATGAAAAGGGTTGGCTTAATGCAACCAAAAAACAGAAGGGTTTGCTTAATTCATCCAAAAAAACATAAGGGTTGGCTTAATGCAACCAAAAAACAAAAGGGTTTGCTTAATTCATCCAAAACACAAAAGGTTGGCTTAATTCAACCAAAAAAGAAAAGGGTTAAGCTTAATTGGCACAAAAATTGAGACCTTTTTGGTAAGTACCTGTTGTTGCAGGGCAAAAATGTGAGCCACACATCCATAAACAGGATCTCTGATTCTTGCTTGAGCTTCATAGGCAATTGTGACAACAGCTTCACAACGATCATGAACAGGGACATGCAACAACAACTTGGACACATTGCTAGCACCAAACACTTTGTGAATGGCAGCAAATCGAGCAGGCCCTTGCTCAGAGCAAAAATAAGGTGCAAAGATACAGTCAGAGGCACACTTTCTCCTCAGAAACTTGCATGCCCCACAAGGAGAGCCAGTGCCAGAGCCATTACTGCCAGCCCCAGAAGCCATTTTTGGGTTTGGTAGAGAATAAGAGACTGTATTTCACCCCAAAAAAGAGAATAAGAGAGTGAGTGATTGAGTGAAAATTGGGAGAGAGAGAGAGAGGGGTTAAAATATTTTTAGGCACACGAGCACACTAGGAAATGGTGCACATAGAGAGAGTTATATGACTTTGGGGTTAATGGGGTTGGGTTGGAGGAGGAAAGTGGGGCATTGAGCAACATAAAAGGGGGGGTCTTATAAGAAATGTGAACGGGGGACAAGGAAGGTCTGTGTGTTGGGTTCTAAGGGGACATTTCTTAATGGTTTTGTAATCTGATGGGGCTACTTTCTTTAAGGCTTTCAACTTACTCTCATACAATTTTTTTTCCATTCTTTTATCATTCAATGGTTAAGAGTTTGATTAACATTTTTTTTATGTGAAGTTTGATTTTGTTCGTTTGAATATGTTTATATTTTCCGCCGAACGCCGCACCTGGGAACTGCTGCAATTTGTCGCCTTGTGGCATACCTGCTGGTATTTTTCTACCGACAATTACTAATGATTCAGTTACCATGAGCAATATAGATGAGAAAAATGCTTATAATATGGCAAGAGGAGGAGGTATAATTTATTAAACTATAAATTATTAATTTGCTACACAATAATCATGCTTAATTCCATTAAACAAGTTGAAGACTTCAAACTTTTGGGAATCCTGGTGGAGAAAAACTGGTCCTGCTTTGGTTTTGTTTTGTGTTGCAGTTTGCTTGAGGTTTTGGAAATTGGGTTTTGTCAGATGAGATGAGATCGGAAAATGATGATGGGACTGGTGCTCTCTTGGAGCTGAAGGTTTCATTGAGCTTTTTCAAGTGTAGAAGATGATTATGGAGTTAGTTGCAGTTTGTGCTTTTCTCGTGCGTTATACATGCCACCATTTATCACATCAGACAAAAGAGAAGCCAACTCAAAAGTCTTAAAAGTGGTTTACTATAACGCCATCGTTTTCTCCACACATCTATCACATATTAAATGCACATTTGTTTGCTTGCTTCACTCACTTTACTGGCCTCAACCACAACCACAGGTACTGCAAAGCAGTATTTCATATTCTGGACCTTATTTACTTATACCAAACAAGAAACTTCTGTATCAGTTGCTAACCAAAACTTGGTGTAATAAGTTGGTTTTCTGGTACGCAATGGACTTGTAGCTTAAGTGTTCAAATCTCTCCTCGTTTAATGTCCCTTAAAAAAAGGTTGATTTTCTAGTAAATTTTTCTTTAGGATCTTTCATATTGAGAGGGGCAATAATATTAATAAATCACACACACACCACACGAATGCTAGAACTCAAACCCTAAAATCCAAGACCTTTCTCGTTATGAGCAATTACTTCAAACCACTACACTAGTGAGTCCTTTGCTGTTTTCTAGTATTATTGTTTGTTAATTCATCCCAGTTGCTGCAGTCCTTTGTTAATTAGGAAAGAAAAACCAGTTCAATTAGCAACTAGTCCAAGTGATATAAATGACATGACCAACGCAAAATGGAACTTGGTCAGTCCAATTTCAAAATATATGACCAGATTTGTGCAAGGGGTAAGTGCAATGAACGGATGAAATCATAGGACAGGTGCCTCAGAGAGTCAGAGTTATTGTTGACCAGCTGTACAGAACAGAGCAAGAAGACCTGCCACCTCATTTGGGTGCATATAAAAATGCTGGGCTACATCAGAAAAGGCCAGAAGAAGGCTCAACTGCATGAGTAGGGCTCGTCGTTCTAACTGGGGAAAATGGCTGTTTGTAACAAAAGTTACATTCCCATATCACAGATTCACAATTCTTAGCTCAGCTCAGCTCTCTGCTGCGGCATGCATAGCTTATTTGCCAAGCTCTTACAACCAGATCACACGAACGATCGGCAGTAATGGAATATTGAAAAAAAGAAGAAAAAAATATTCCTATCCGTTCACACATGACGCTTGCAGCTTAGCTACATTTATTTGGAGTCAAATTTGGATCATCATCAAGCACATGGCATGCATGCATAACTGCCTCCAAGATCCCATATCGAGAAGACTTTAGAACCAACAAACACCTTTTAGTTCATCCCTGGTTTAACGCAGGCACAATCGGTTACATAATTTTCTTTCACTCGTAGCTTTGGATGACCTTAAAAAAGGAAAAAAAGAGAAACACCACCTTTATCCATTTCTTCATCTTCTTTATTAGGGGGTTCAGAACAAAACCAACTTACAGAAAACTTTTGGCCCAGTTGGGGATGATTTAAAAACATCCCTATTTATGTTTCCATAGAAACAGTCCAGTTCAGGATTTTGGTCCGAGTTCCCATAACGATTTGGAGGGAAGAAGCCCACGTATCGTAGAATGATTATATCCTCATGGTAACATATATACTGTACATATACAAAAGGGTTGATTGACAAATAAAAAAAGAAGTGCAGTATATAGCCACAAGAGAGAGCAAAAGGCCCAAAGGGTTTGATTCCATTACTTGAAAAACATTCTCTACAATGCCAGAAGCAAAAGTTAAAAGATCTCACACAATCCCCAAAATAGATCTTTATTGATATGAACATTCAAAACCCAGAACAGAGAAACATCGTGCGAGTTTCTGAGCACACCACCACACTGTACACCAGAGCCAAAATACTGGACACCATTATGTCTCCCTCACCTCTTGTGATGAAACCTCACCTTCAACAGGAATTGCATCTTAACCTGTCCATAGATGTCAACACCCAGTTAAGTTACTATATGTCTCCAAAACAAGTGAAAAAATAGTCACAAGTGGTAATGACCAACAAGAACAAAGCTTAGAACTTACTTGAGCTTTATCATAAACAATGTACTCGTTATACATTAGCTCAGAGGCCTTGATATTTGATGGCACTGGTTTTCCACAAGGCACGATGACATCGTCCTTCCATTTTACATACTCCGACTCCTGAGGTATTTTCTTGCCAAGCCCCTTCGTAGAGTGCTTTCCTTTAGGAGGTTTGTCCATATACTAGAGGATAGTAGCATACAAATAAGTTAGATGGGCAAAAGTCCCAGCAGAAATGGCAGGTTTGATGAATCTGTATGGGATTATTTTTTTTGTCTACACACCAAAACTACAAACTTTTAGGGTGCATAAGAACCTCCACATACTTCACTTAAGTTATACATGTCAAGTATATACCGCTAGTTCAAATGAGTGGGCGAACACTGTCAAACTACAATTAGAATATTCAAAACACACAATCAAAGCACATAAAAAGATAATGGAAAATGTCCTCACCGTAGCCTTCTTGAGCTCATGGACCTCCCCCAAGGCAACTTCACTTAGAAGCATGAGGCCCACAGGATTCTTCTTGTCTGTATAGCAATACTGAGCACTCTTACTGACAAGGTCAGCAAAGTAAATCCCCTTGCCAAACTGTAATGCGAAATGTTTATGCTTTTAGTCTTGCAGAAAAAGCATAGACACTACAACTGTGTACACGCAGAGGCACACAAAACATAATACATAGATAGACATAAATGTGTAGAGAGAGAGAGAGAGAGAGAGAGAGAGAACCATATAACCAGTAGCAGGAGCTTCAGGAGGAGCTATTCTCAGTCCTTGGCTAAGTATGCCCACAAAATTTGTAAACCGAGAACCTGGGAGTATAAAATTATTAGTTCTATTTCTACTCTTGATTATAGGTCCTAATACATTTAGTAGTAGATTTTACGAAAGATTTCAAGGAACTAAAGTCATTCCCATCTCACAGCACACAAAAATCATTACATGAAGTTCATAGGCAGCAAAACTAACCATGCCAAAGAAGCATTCTGTTGTTAAGCTTTTTCCGATAGGGAGCAAATTTATCAAATTCCCCTTCCCTTTCAAGAGCAAAAACTTCTTCAAGCTCAAGGCTCCAATCCTGATATTATCATAAGAAGCCAGACACAAGATTTAGAAAAATATATCAATTGACATTAAATGTTGAGTATATAGAAAAGGTCACCAACATAGTACGCTCGGAACTCAAGGTATCAAGATGCAAACCCACCGTATGTGTAGGGGCATGAGTAGTAAGAAGATATTTTTTAATCAACCGAAAATCTTCACTATCATGAGGAATTGGATCAATATCACACCGGAGCTTCCTATACTTCTCATCAAGGGAGTCATCGGTATCAGCATCAAAACCAACTAATCTGGAAGCAATTTCAATGTCCTGGAGAGCTTCTAGCATTTTCACCTGCCAAGGATACAAAAAAGCTGTATAAACATCTTATGCCTTGCTTATAAGTTGTAACTATGCAGACTTGCCAAAATCAGTTGCAATCTCTCATTACAGCAGTAACTTCAGCATCAACTTCTTTTAATATGTCAAACTTTAGCATCATGAAAAAAATTAATATTTCAATCCCTCTGGTAAAAAAAAGTAATGAGCCCTAACATAAATAGTAATATAAGCAAATCCGTTAAGGAGAGATTGGCATCATCAACCAAAAAAAACCCAAAAATAAATCATTTAAATTCATGCATATTACATATAGGTTCAGAAAAACCATCTTCCAATAATGGAAAGGCGTGAAGGAAACTGTGAGCTTGAGAATGTGCAAAAACATGAAAGATGTAACCACACAGATCCTTATGTACCTTTGACTTAAAATCATCCTCATCTCTAATAACATGTGGATGTATGGAAGGTATCACAGTGAAAAATCGATTGCTTGCATCTACAATCAAGCTCTCTTTCATGGAAGGAGCATGGCCATTACTATTCAACAGATTCTGTATTTCCGTTAATGCTTCAAACCCTGAACAAAGAGATCAGAATAGGAAAATAAGGACTGGAGGAAAGGGCGCAAGACTTTATTATGCAAAGTACTAAACATTAAACTTGAAAATATAACGGTTTGATATCTGAACTCTACAGAAAATTGAAGAGATTCTCTTCTCAATATTTACCCTTTTGGATATTGCTTTTACTCAATTTCCCAAGTGGCATTTCTGACATATTTATCTCAAATTCCATCATGGCAGCTCTGCAAAACTTAAGACTTAGTCTCATAGACATACAACTCATAGATAGATTAAAAAAACAGATGGAAGAGAGAGAGAGAAACGAAGGTTGAAACTAAAATATTTTAACCTGTATGTTTCAACATTGAAAAGCATCTTCATCAATTCTGCTAAAGGAGGAGCTAGTTTGCTGGCTGCATTGTTCTGATTTTTCTTGGAAACCTGTTTGTTAACCCCATAATCCTACAAATTCCAATTTTTAATCAAATAAACTTCAAGAAAAAGAAAATACAGAAACAAGGATTCACCACCAAGGATGGGTCCTTCACATTTGAGGATAATTATAAAAGAAATAAAAGAATAAGCAGTACAATATCCAATGGAAAGAATCTGCCAGGTTGCTTCTGAAAATTTTGTTTTTGCTCCCATGCTTCCCACGAATTCCCAGTCTTCTCAAGGAACAAACGTTTAAATTCACAGATCGCATCTGATTTCAACATCTCTTCCAGTTTGTTACCTCCAATTTTATCATTCCCCACTCGTCCCCATTTACGAAACACATAGCAGTCTGAACTCTTATCATCTTGTATAATTTGGAGAATGTAGTAACTAAATAGAAAAGAGAGACAGCAAGAAAGAGTTAGAAATCAGAATTTATAACATATATTATCAAAAGAACAGGCCCAACTAACTACAAGTATATTGAGAAGTAATAGGCCCTAATAGGAGTTCCGAATACTTATTTTAAAAGCAAAACTAACTGCAAGTGATAGAAAGTTTAACTTCCAATACTGTAGAATAATGATTTTATCCCTTTAGAGAAGAAAAAAATTGATAAGTACACAATAATGCTTTCATCGGAACTTAAGTTCAGAAGTAAACTGCAAATTCAAGGGACTACTTCCACAAGGATTTGCTCTAATAGTTTATCTTAAAACATGATGGGCAATGATTGAGGATCCGAGGCATGAAACGATACTAGCAACTTAAGTTCAAGAAATGAGTAGCGCCAATTGATGTGGAAAACAACAAGATCAATTCCAGAAAAATTGATTAACAAGAAAGATAGAATAAACCAAATGCACCTGTTAACACCAGTTGATAAATCAGACATGCTTAAGGTCGTATTGTAGATGCTTTTCTCATCCTCAAGTATATGACATGTATCTTGCAGACCAGAAGATTCATGAACAGCACTTCGGCCTTTCACTTTGACAGTGACCATGCTAGAGGCTACACCAACAACTTCAACTTTGTACAGATCAAATGGAAGCTTCTTCTGTTTTTTAAAGCAATCAACCAGATAATCCTCCCTAACAATTGGTAATTTCATTCTCCTGAAAATGCAACTTATCCCAGTCAAAACCAAGGTAGAAATACACTCAAGAGTCAAGACCAGCAACTTGATAGCATCTTAACCTTGCTTTTCTCATCTCAGCATCCTTATCATCAAGAGCTCCACTCACAACTAAGCAATTAGTATCTGCACTTTAATTTGTTTAACAAAATAACTAATGTTATGCATCCTTAAGTCAACAGATACAGCTATAATCCAAAGAAGGCAAGGCACTAAATCAAATTATGTGCAAGAAAAGCACATGCCTTTCTTGATCTTCGAATGAACCAGTCCAGCTACACCCTCAATTTTTCTACTCCATTCTTCCTGCACAATCACCCTTAATGAAATTGATAGACCGAAGTGAAAGTGCAGAAAAAAAAATTCCCACAGATACTACGAATTAAATACACATAAAAGGAACAAATGATCATGCCATGGATTCTTTTGGTAATCCACGAAAAGCAACTTTCAAATCTGCCAAGCTTGCACTGTTAGATGACTGAGATTGGCCATTGAAAGCTTGACTTCCAGAAGGTTTGTTAGGTGTTAATGGAGGCAGTATCCGCACAGGTTTCTCAACCTTTTGTGATTTAAACCACTGCAAAATAAAAAACAAAAAACAAAAATAACTTAAGCCATAACTTGGATCCCTACATACAGGACATAAGTTGTAATTAAATACCTTATTAAGATATGATTGTCTGTATCTTCTGGGATTTTCCACTTCCATTTAAGGCGTTCAGGTTCCTCAGTAGAGTAAGAACACTTACTCCACTCTGATATGTAGCCATGGCACCGGTACATGCCCCCAGAATAACGAAGAAAACCAGAACAGATTGGGCATCTACTAAGTGCTCCAAACATCATTCCATCAGCGCTAAAAAAGTACAGCAATAAAGAGTTAATCAACCTTAAATTAATTAGATGAAAAACTAGTGATCCACGTAGAGATGATAATCAGCTAAGGATAATTAGTAGATCGAATTCAAGCATACTTTGGGAGGGGGGGCGGGGGGGAAGAAGAAACCAAACAAAAGGTTTCGATTGTGACAACAAATCAAGCAACAACATTCAACAAGATTATTCTACGCAATCCACTACAAAACAAGACAAATGTATAAAAGCATTTATGGAGAAATAAAATTTAAAAATAAAAATAAAAAGCCAGTTTGAAAAAGTGAAATTTACAAAAATAAAATCGAAAAACTGAACCTAAAGGGAGGAAAAAAAAGACAAAAGTTACGCAATTTCCACAGCTAGAACATAGATGATATTACCAGCGCTCACGCAAATCAAGCTCTGATCCTGTTGAATCCTGAACATTCGCTTCAAGCATTTCACGCAACTCAGCAGTCGTCACATGCTTTTTAAGATTATCTTTCAGTGCCCACAGTTCTTTAGTTTGAGCCTCCAGTTTACTCTCCAGATCAGTAGCATCCCTTGCGGACACATCCCAGCTCGTTGACACATCTCCTTCCGACCTAGCAACTTTTGACTTCTGATCACCACCACTATCTTTTCTTCGTTTTGTGCTAGTGCTAGGAGTTGACTGTTGCAGAAATTCTTTATCCTCTTGTTCCTTAGTTTTCTTGCCTGAAAGGATGACTACTATAAGAGGAAAAACAATAGCGACTGACAAACAAAAGATAACTGCTTATTACTGCATAGAAACAACCTACAATAAAAACAAAATGAACTTCATACCACCTCTTGCATTAGAAGGAACCTTCTTAACCAAGGCACGTACAGCTGCCTGATCAGCAACTGGGAGGGTCTCCCATCCAGACAACTTCTCCACTTCAGTGGATGGTGATAATTCCATGAAACAGTTGGCATGGTGCCATGCCAGGCCCCTAGGTCCTTGACCTTCAGGCTTGGTTGATATACGGACCTTAAAATGGAATAAAAAGCAATCATGCAGAGTAAACTTCAGTTATGCTTTATGAACTAGAATTGGAGAAAGATGTTGTATCTTATATACGATGATGATATACATTTCTATTAAAATAAGCTAACATTTTCTTTATAAATTGGGACTAAAGCTTGCCACAGAACCATAGAATATTGTTGTCGTGTGTCTGGGCAGACATGAGTGCGTGAGAGAGTGAGAAAGAAAGAGAGGATGCTGGGAAGACACTTTGGCTGGTAACTCAACAAGTTTCAGCTTTCTTGTCTTGAACGTGTTCAATCATACACTAGTGTGCCACCCAAAAGAAAAATGGTTTCAATTCATGGTTATCAACATTGAAAACTTACTTTTGATTTACAGATTTCATTTCTCACACCATAGATCCAAAGAAACCTACCAAACCCAACTAAGACAAAAATGTACTTACTGAGCATATAAAGATAGAGATAAACAATTACCAACCTCTGCTTTTAAAATCTTTTGGCTGCAGCTCTTGCAAGTAGCACGAGAAGTTGGTGAAACTTCAATACCACTACTGACCTTGCTTGTTGTTGTTACTGTTGTTATTGTATCTGGGGGTCCTCCACTTTGTACATAATTTCTAATTTCCTTCTGATCTTCCCAACGAAGGAGCTCTAGGCCTTCAACATCATCGGTTCTAGATGCAAGACACAGGCGTATCAGTTAATCACTGCATTCATCCACTTCACTCAACGGAAAAATGATAAATATGGGAATAATACATACGATTTTATCTGCTTTGCTTTCTTCATTATGCAATCAGCATGGTTCCACATCTGATTCAGAAAACAAAAACAAGCCAAACATTTATAAATGTAGTACTTTTTGGGGAAAGGTGTTGAGAAAATAAGAAGGCCGATGAAGAAAACACAAGTACAGCAGTATAAACCTATAAAGCACCAATTTATTCAAGGGGAAGAAGGAGAAGTTTTCAAGCAGAAGAAAATTTCTGCTGTTTTGCAGATTTTAGGAAACTTCTTTCTAGAGAATATTCTTCTTGATTATGTTTTGAACAAGACTTCGACTTTACACTAGAGCTGCAAAACTTGTCCCAAAGAAAACTTTTCCGTTCAAGCAAACATCAGAAAGCGTTCTTATAATCCAATTACATAACCCAAGAATGCTAAACAATGTGAAAAGACCAAAAAAGGTAGGTTTTTTTTTTTTTTTTTTAAAGGTCCTAACTTTGTACTAACAAAAAGGCAAGCTAAATGAAAATGTAGCAGAATATACAAAGAAACCAAACCCATGTGTTAGAAATTAAAATCAACACATAATCGATGTTTCCAAGCTAAGAGGTGTGAAAGTATAGCAAAAACAACAGGGTTTCTTGCAATCTTTCTTGACTTTCTTGTATTATCGTTTGGGTGATAATAGTGACAAATGACAATACAGTGGAAGTAAAATGGGGGTGGTAAGAGAGAGAGAGAGAGAGAGAGAGAGAGAGAGAGAGAGAGAGGACAGTACAGGCATGAAGCCGTCGAATTGGGTGGCCGTGACCATCTTGCCGAGGCGAAGCTTCTCTTTCTCAATGGGGGATTTACAGGTCTTGCATGATGATCTCGACGACTTGGCATACTCCACCTTCCATGGCTTCGGGGGCTGAGGGTTCGCCATTCTCTCTCTCTCTTCTCTCTCTCTGGGCAGTGAGACTCTGACTGGTATTGAACTTTCTTTTACCACTGACACTCGGAGCTCCGCGGGCTGCTTGTCGCTTGCTGTCTGTCTAGCTTTAAGAAGCTTTTTTAAGAAGGTGCTTGCTTAACATCCACATATTTTGACGGATCCGACCCGGCCCATATCTGTACTAAGTTATTTTGAACGTCCTTGCTTAAGAAGTTTTCCTTTTTATCCGACCCAAAAAAAACAGAAGCTTTCCTTTTCCTTTTTCTTTTTTTCTTTTTGAACGTGTAAAGAAGCTTTTGGAAACAAGTCAATTTACCCAAAATAATAAAAAAGGCAAAGTAAATTCAGGTCGGCATGTCTCTTGGGAAATTTGTTTAATCCAAAATTGTTAGCATATGAAGTTGCAGGGCCAATATTTATCCACAAATAAAAGGAAACATAAGACTATTTTGGTATACATTATACAAATTTCATAAAATAATACTTCGATAATCATCCAATCATAAGTAAACAACTCTGTAGCCATGTATTAGGGTAGCCATGACATAAAAAATACAGGTTAATTCGAGCAAGCAAAAACTTTGTTCCTTCCTTTCTCCCAAACTTCATGCTTGCACAACTTTGATGAACTGTCTGAGTCTGCATTGGGGCTTCAAAGTTTGGTGTATGGATGAAATGCACTGGAGACGGAAACTAACTGTTCATATCTATTGCACCGGAGGAGCTTGCATGAAGAGGTACTGCACATAACACAGAGACTTTAGTCATTGTCCTGATGATATGTTAGAGTTTGATTGGTTTGAAACCATATTTTGATATATGCATACCTCAAAGGATTTTCCTGATCTTTCAAATTCCAGCATGCTTAGAGCAACTTCACAACTCTGCGACACGATAGGCTCAGGGTCCTTTGCGAATTCCTCGAGAAGTGATACACTTTGGTCATCTACACACAAAGCAGCAACTCAATCAATTAACCCAAAACTCAAAATATTTGAGGTTCCTATATAACAATCTCACATCGAGTACATTCTTAGAAAAAGGGTCTTCAGCGCCTGCCACCTCATATGACAGGCACACAAGGAAGGTAGCAGAAAATCCACCTATCAGCTACTACTCTATATACAGATAGGTATGCTTGGAGAACACAATTAGACAAATACCAAGCAGTCATACCTGCGATGGAACCCAGAGCTTCAGCAGCTTCATGTCTAACCATTGGGTGCTCATTTCTATCCATAAGTATGTTGGAAAGAGCAGCTGAAGCATCTTTGTTTTGCAATTGTCCTAACACATAAGCAACCTGAAAACCACAGCAAAGAAGATATGAAGGTTAAATGACACCCACTGGTCAAAACAAATTTAAGACAGTAAGCAGTGTAAAACATGCTAGTTTTGCAAGGGTGTCCATTGCTCCAAAAGCAATTAGAAATATCAACCTTTAAAGAATCCTTGTAAAAAATCCATGAGGGTGGAGTGGTCTATGTTTATAACTTCTCAGTATATGATTAGATAAGATAATAAACAAACCTCATGACGCAAGAGGGCACTTTTTGAACCCAAAGAATCAACTATAGCGGAAACAGCTTCATCTCCACTATTATTCCGCAGAGCAATAGAGCCGCATAGCGCTCATACATGTTTTTCTTTTCATCCAGAAGAACTTCCCTTAAAATGAATAACACGAGTCAGATATCTAAAACTAGCACGAGTGGAAGAAAATCTAAGCCAGGGACGATAACCAGGCTCACCTTAGCTGATTTACAGAAGAAGAAGAAGTAGCTGGTGCAGCAGGATCAACTGACATAAAAGGTGACTTTTCATCCAAGGATTGATTACCAGAATCCTTCAACTGCTCAATTCGATTAAGGGCCAATGCACAAGTTTCTTTTACCTCCTGAGCTGGATCTAAAGCCAGACTATTCTCTAAAAGAGGAACATTGCTCTCTAAACCAATTGCACCAAGAGCTTCTGCTGCCTACACCAAGGCAATCAGAAGACTTAGACATATTATAAGAAGATGAAGAACATAAGCAGATTCACCAAAATTTATATATATATATATATATATATATATATATATATAAGTAGATTAAGGTGACATAAACTACTCGCCTCATGACGAACTATGGGATGCAAAGAGAGATCATTGAGAACCGCTACTAAAGCAGGGATTGCATCCGCATCTTGCATTTGACCCAACGCAAATGCAGCCTCATGCGCCAACAAATTAGAAGAATCTCTTGTTGCTGCAGCGGAAAGCACACATCCATATAGCAATTACAATACGACCAATCATCAACACACATAATGATAGATCAAAGGAAAACCAGATGAGGAATATTCCGATAATAGTTTCCAGGGAAAGGAAAAAAAAATAAAAACAACCACATATATCATGTTCACTTCCAACCGATTTCCTAGCATTCATAATTGTAATGCTGGAAGTGCAGCATAATGCCCTCTACGAATTAAACATGTAAATATCAATGTCCTCAGTTTAGAACAGCCAGGTTCATTCTATCACATAAACAATATTATAACGCATGCAGAGGCTGATCAGTCAATGATATTCATTCAAACTATTAGTTTAGCTCAAGGAGAAAGATACTGAAATTTTGCTTTGAAAATCAAACGAAGTACTTAGAAACTACTAATGAAACAGTAAACAAGAACCCTTTGCTAGAAATGAAAAACCCAATAAGAGTGAATGAACAAGTCCTGAAATTGAAAGCAAATTGGCTCTGCCACTATAATAGAAACACTTGCATACAACTAAACAAACGAACCGGTAATGAGAGCGTTGCGAGGGCCAGGGCCTTTGAGGTTGCGGAGAGAGAACAAGGCTCTGAAGCGCTCCGAGATGGGCTGGGTCGGGTCGAGCAATCGGTCGCAGAGAAACTTCACCATCTCCGGTGATGACTCAAAGCTGGTCGTGGTGCCCTCTTCGTTCAGTGAACCCATGAGTTCGCGCTGTGAGCTTTGAGCTTGATGGCGCTTCTGATATGCGTATGTCAACAAGCTCCACCTTTCTTAAGGCTTAGGGTTTTTGTTTGTCTCTCAGTCTGATCAGAACCAGATGCTCATGCTCCTAATTGAAGAAGACGATGACGTGTCGAAAAGGACGGGCAGCCCAGCCCAATAACCCAAACAAAACCGAACGGCCCAGCCCAACCTAACAAGAAGAAAATAAATTGAACATTTAAAAAAAATTCAATAAACATTTTATTTTGAGCTTTGGATTGCAAAATTACTTAACAAACAAACCTACATGTTTACTTACGAAGAAGGAGGGAAGTTCTGAATTGAGGAACTGAATTTGAAAATAATGAATAAGAATCGGGTCAATTACTCTCCATAGTTAATATAATTCATAATTTTTAGGATATTTGATCATGAACTTCACCATAGAATTTTCATGATTTTTTTTATTCCGTACGTGTAAGTAAACATATGGAAAACAATAAATTGGAATTACTTCAACACCAATGTGTTAGTAAACATGCCAAATGTAAATTTTTTCTTACTCATTTACTGTTACTGGCAGTAGGAAGAGTAACAAGATAAAACACAGTAAAAAACATTTCAATTCTTATCCAAGTTCATCCGTCATATTGGGCTCCACAGACGTAAAACTTTCTTCCCCCGCGAGATCAGTCCTTCAGAATATAAATCCCAGCGACTCACTCTCATTTCCCCTCTTTCTTACTCCGCAGGGAAAACTCCTCGGCTTCCCTCCAAACGGTACGTTTCTTCGCTCCCAATCTCTCAGATCTGAATTCCTCTCACCCCCTCAATCCTCGGCTTATTTCATCTATCTTATTTTTTGTTTTAGATTATTCTTTTGAAAAGTTCAAATTGGTTTACAGTAGCTCAAAATTCAAAGATCAAAGAAGCAGCGATAGGGTCGAATTGTTCTGGTCCTTGTGAGCCATGAATGCTCGAAGGTTAGCTCATTAAGATCCTAATACGAATCCGATTGATTCGGTGCTTTGTAATTTTTCTTTCGCTTTGGTTGCAGAAGATTCTGAAACATATTTACCTGGTTCATTCCTATTAAGATCTGTGTATAAAGTATGGTTTTCTCTATGGCTTCTGGCTGTTTGGTGTGTGTACTGAGTACTACTAACTGAGTGATAAACATGGAGAATCTTTGTCTTGACGCTGCGAGGGATGGTATCTAATTTGGTTGTTTTTTCACTGAACTTGAAATCCCATTTGGGTCCGGATCATGTTTGGGTTAGGTGTTTGATGCTTGGGTCAGTCGGTGCTTCTATTAAGTCATGTTTAGGCTGTTTTGGATGACGTAATGAATTGCTTTCTATTTTAGAAAACTAAAATGAGATTTATGTGGGACTTCACAAATCATTGGGATCTTTTTCCTATTGGGTATGCATTGGACATGCTATTCCTATTTGGGATGTGTTAACAATAATTTGATGAAAAAATGGTTTGATGGACTGTTACCTCTTTAATTACTGAAGCTTTTGTTAGATTATCTGGATTTTTCCCATGTTTCATTTGAAGGAAATATATGTTGTTTATGGTATGTTTACTGATCATTCTGACAATACAATGAAACCCCTTTTTATGCAGGGACTACCGTGGCAACAAAGTTGCTCTTTTTGATGGCATTGAGGAGGGTGGCATCAGGGCCTCGGCTTCCTACTCCCATGAAATTGATGAACATGATAATGAAAGAGCAGTGGACGGATTGCAAGATAGAGTCAATTTGCTGAAGAGAGTAAGCCCCCTTGTCTTGTAATGCCTGGAAACTTGAAAGTCACTGCAATTGTGATTGTGGCAGTTCCCAACTGCCTTTGATACCTATGATTTTTAGGTCACAATATCTATAACATTTTGTGTTGCTGTCTAGTTAGTGTATGCTTCTTCCAAATGTTTGAATAGGTTGAGAAAGGAAAAATGTAGCTTTTGAATTTTGTAGTAGGTTCTTGGTTAAAATCTTCTTGCATAATTTATTGATGTTTACCTTTGCTTTAATGGTAAACAAATACAGCAACCATGAAATATTTCTAATAGGAATGAGGGATTCCATGAGTCCTTGGCTTCCTTGTTTTTCAATGTTAAGAAGACATCCCCTGTTAAACATAATGATTGTCTCAGAATCCTCTACTGTTGTCTGTGAAGTTATAAGCTAGATTTGGCAAACTATTGCTTAATGATGCCCACTGATGTTTTGTAGTTCTAGTCCCATAGACTTTTATATCTTGTTGTCTATTCATAATCCATTTCTTTCAAACAGTTGTCAGGTGATATACATGAGGAGGTGGAGAGTCACAATCACATGTTGGACAGAATGGTACATATGCTGCAGCTAATACATCCTTTTCTCTATAGTTCACATTTTTCCTGCCAGGCTATACTTTATCTTGTTTATATGTGATTTATTATTATGTACGTTGTCTAATTCAGGGAAACGATATGGATTCATCAAGGGGAGTGCTATCTGGTACCATGGACAAGTTTAAGATGGTATGTGTGCTATCTGCCAGGCTGTTGTTTACCTTTCCAAATTTATCCTTCTCTTTTCAGAAATTACCAGGTCCTTTCCTTCTTTTATCGTTCTAATCTAAGGGTCCCCATCTGATTCATGGTGTTTTCATTTTGTTCAGGTTTTCGAGACGAAGTCAAGCCAGAGAATGTTTACACTAGTGGCATCTTTTGTGGTCATTTTCCTAGTTATATACTATCTCACTAGGTAACTGATCCATGATGGATTGGATACAGCCACTAGTTTTAAGTTGAATATGGAAGACCTTGCTCTTGACTGTAATCAATGTTTACCTTGTGCTTGTAAGATATTCTGGTATGTTTATATTTAAATGTATGAAATAGAGGAGTTAAATGCCTGAACCGCCTCATAAACCCCCACCCCAAGCCAAAGCCAAGCCAGAAGTTGTTTTTCGAGTTATATTTAACTACAGAGGTAAACGAAGCTTGTAATGTAGGCACAAAATTCGTTTGTTTTGAAACCTAACTTTATGTGCCGTTGCCTAATTGTATGGCATTGCCAAATGGGTTTCTATATCAAGTTGGCCTACTGTTCATTGTGATCAGAAATTATACCTCGTGTCGTGAGGCACTTCAAAGCAAAGCAAAGGGAAAATATTATTTTTGTACGAGTCAGAATTGAACTTCCCAATCAGATTATGGTGAAAAAGTGGTCGTCAGGTGGAAGGGTTTAGGCCATGGCCATTGATTTCAGTTCTTGCAAGCACCGAGTCAATTAATACTAGAACTTTTAAGATATAACCGAAGTACAAATATGCAATTGATTGTTGCCAACTTTGCATATTTGTTTAGGACAATATTGGTTTAATTAAAAATATCTTCGCCAATGGAATCTAGCTCAATGAAAAAGGTCTTGACTTGCAAATCAGTGGTGTGTGTGAGAACCCCCCCTTACCTTTCCTTTTTTTTACAGTTTTAGTTTATTTTTGTTTTTTTTTTTTTATTCATGTAATCAACTCAAAACAGAGAAATAAAAACAAAAGAAATATTAAAAAAAGTATCAAAAGTATCAATGTCCAGCTGTACATGCTGGCCTTGACAAGCAAGACCAAGCTAGTTAGCCCTTTCCTGCAGGCTTGGTACTCTTTGCTTTAACGTAGAACATGTGTTGTGGTTGCGGTTCAAGATTAGGTCAAACCCATTCGTCTCCATTGCCCCCATGGCCTGCATGCAGAAAAATCTTCAACTTCCATTTGATCAAGTCAGGTTTCTTTTTATATATGCTGGCTAGCTGATCATGTAGAATATTTAATTAATATCCAGCATCCAATATATACAATTGCTTCATTCTTTCTTCTCAACCAAAAAAAGAAAGAAAGTATAATTGGTACAATATTTATATCACACGAGAATATCAGCACCAGAAGATATCGAAAAGGGCTAGACTTCGTAAAGTACGAACATGATAATCATGTCATACACACATGAAAAGTAGAGGTTCCAACTTCAAATTCAATCGGCAATAGAGTGAGTGGCCCAAGTCGTTATAAGTCATTTGTAAAGTTTCTCAACTTTTCAATATGGGGACAATAATTCGCACTATAAACAACATATATATAATATAACTAAATGCATGCAAATACTATTGCTGCAGGGATCACTGCAGCAGCTAATTCTGCAGTGTTATATATAATCCGGCAAACTTCAAACTCTGGAGATTTCATATATAACATCTAGGCTAAGGGGGGCATTCTTGTAACGATCGAAAATGCTACAAAATTCTTACTGGTTAACAATCTTTGTTATTGTACAGATTTTATATTATTTCATGCAAACATATAGGCTTTTGTAAAATGAAGAGAACCATGCATTATCCATTGGAGCCTTAATTAATAATAATAAGCATGCTTCTTGCTATTGATCAAGTGAAATATTCTGCACTCTGAAACAGTGCCAAGTTTCGGATTTGATCCCCAACTTTCATGTAGAAAACTGATTAGTGTACTGTAGAGGAGAGTGACACTAAAATCCCAGTTGAAAACCCTAATAGGACAACTATATATATATGTTCAGACTTTGATATCATTCCTTTAGGGTAACTACTTTATTTAAGACTGCTGATTGGTTTACCATCTTGAAATCAGTTAACTTGGAAGCATTTTCCTGTTTAATTATGGATGTTTTACCCCCCAAGATGTCTGTATGTGTAAACGTGCACTCACACGCATAATTGGCTAGCTAGGATCTTAACAGAAAGCGATACGAATGAAGAAGATGTAAATATATATGTATATACACACACACACACACAATGAATTAGCATATAAGTTTAATCTAAAAACTCAGAGCTCACCTGATAAATATATGGTGAAAATGGGGTTGAGAGCTTTGACATGTACTTGAACAATGAATTAGGCTAAAGCTTCCTTGCTGGGGTTCCGGTGTCGTCGGTCTTTAATTCCATTTCTCAAAAGAAAAGGAAAACAAAACTGATTTATAGGTGAATTAGTAAGCAATAGCATTCAAGCTAATTGATTATGAAATTCTAGAAAAATTCCAATCCCAATCCCTTTTTATAAGCAAAACTTGGAGCTAAGAAATACAATGGAGGGAAGAAGAAGAAGACATGTATTACATGTATATAAGAAAACATCTCACAGAACCCTAACAAAAATTAGGGCTAGTTTGGCTAGCTATGAAGATGGAAGAAGCAAAATATACCTTCTTTATTTGCTATAGCTCCTTCTCCCAGCCTTTAAATCCAGCAGACAAGACTAAATTGATTGCCATGAAAAACAGGCTTGGTAAACACACAGAACTGTTCTTTAATTGGGATATATTTGAGATATTCTAATAACTTCTCTTTCTTTCCCATCACAAAAGAAACATATGAAAAAGAAAAAAAATTGTACAGAATAATTCATAACTGTACAAAATATATGAAGTAATAAAATCTAATTGTGCTCTCTCAATTAATCTTTGATATTATACAAGGGATCGTGACCAAGTCGAAGCTCCAAATCCAACTCTTCATCACTGCCTGCACCATTAGCCACTCTGTCTTTGTTGTTGTCTAAATCATGCGATGGCCTGCCAATTCCCAAGCTCAAACTGCTCCCCGATCTCCAATCCCGATGATCATCTGTCAACAGATTCCGGTGCCTTGGAATATAATTTCTTGCACACAAGTCCTCTTCACTAACATAATTTGCATGTGGAGAAGGCCTCACAACCCATGATCCCGTAGGTGCCGGCATAAATGTTCTATAGTTCACATGGTGATCTACCACCACCTGATCATGATCAGGAGCCGTTGAATAATGTGGAGGGTAGCTTTGAATCTCACGGTAGGATCTTAAACCCGGATGGTTATGATCATCTACTGATTTGCTGATGGATGAACTCAGATTAGGAGCTGAGCTAGGCCTGGTCTTGGGCGCTCTCTCTCTGCGGTGGATATTCATGTGTCCACCCAAGGCCTGCGCTGTTGTGAACCCTCTCTTGCAGAACACACACTCATAGGACCGCCCTGTGCCCACACCATCGTTCGCATCGGATCGTTGATCAGCTTCTTCATCAGTGCTAGAACTCTTTGAAACTTGATGATCATGATGTTCCATAGCTACGAAAGCTTGAAGAATTCCTCTAGCTAAATTTTTTTTTCTTCAAGTTTTGGTTTCTTTGGATATATATGACTGGGATGGAATAGGAAATTAATTAGGGAGTGGTTTATAGAGAGGTGGTGTTGGTGGAGGAGCGGGACAGAAGACAAGCACAAGACATAGGTATTGTCTATGAGAGTTTTGGAACTTTGGAGTGAAGGCGTTGTGGGGGAAAAGTCTTAGAGCTTTGCTGAGAGAAGCTTTCTGTTAAGCCGGCTGCAAATTTATTCTTCTTGTTTAACACTAATTAAACACGGTTTCCCTTTTCTTTTCTTTTTAATTTTTATATCTAGTTCCTTATCCATGATTAGAGAGCGGTCTTCCTTTGTAATCTCTCCCTAATTTCTCTACCGTACAAAGCACACAATATATAAATATATACCATGCTATTTTTTATAGTGTTATATTATTCATCTTATACCATACTGAAGAACAATATATAAATATATACCATGCTATTTTGGGAGTTACAATTAGGTAGTTAGTAAAAACACATTTTTCAACCAGAAACAGACCGTTTTGATTAAGGCACCGGATGATAATATTATATAAACACAATTGTTTTTGTTTAGAATAGAAAATAGTATATAATATTATATCAATAGAGTCTTTACCGTATTAGTGACTAATTAAGCCATGGTCAAGTTTGAATAATCCACAAATGATGACATGGCACAGGCTTCAGCAATGAACTATACTCGATGCACATAAAGAACACTTCTCCCCCACCCTTAGTTGGGTTTGAGAGAAAACTGAACAAGAACAGTATTTCATACTGATCTTGTTTAACGCATTCGTGAGGAAAGATGGAGGAACCTTCCTTCCTCTACGTGATAAGATAATAATTAAGAAACAGTGTGTTTTTTGGAGCTTATAGTTGTACGCAAGTGTAACTTTTTACACCATATATGTATGTGTATATATATATATATATATAAACACATCAGCTTTATATCTATGTCACAATCAACATCCTGCTAATTTCAGATCAAGTACGTGGCTGATGATGAAACCTATACTTGAAGCTTATGGTTCTAGTTTCGTTTGATTACTGTTTTAAGAGGGTACAATCACAAACTCTGTAAGGGATTTAAATTTTATATGTGTAATTGTAAGGGATTTAACTTGAATGATACGTCACGGACAATACATTCGGGGATGGATTCACTTCATTTGTACCAAATATTTGTGTCAAATCCAACCATTAAATTTATTGTGTCACTCTGATTCCTCAATTTAATTAAGCCCCTTAGGTTTATTGTGAACCATATATATGTATATGATGTATTTAATTCATTAAAATAGGTATAAGTATGCAGGCCGAAATATTAAATTAATGTAGCAGGTTACTGGTATTAGGTAGGTGTCGTTTGCAAAGCATTGAGAGGTTTACATGAGAAATGACTGGACTGAGATGTCGTGCCTAATTAAGTCTCTCATTTTGTCATATAATATTAGACCAAACTACATTAACTCCGCAATTAACTATCTAGGACACGATTTCTTACCCACGTTACTGGATAATTGCAGCTTAAGGATGTTTCTGCAGAAATGACAGACTATAAATGTTTTTTCCTTGAAAGAAAATGAAATTTGTTACATGAACATGTTGTCTGGCCGCTATGTGGACAAAGACAACCTATTCATTCCACGGTTTTACTATGAACCTATTTATGATACAAGTTACAACACTCCAATTTTTTTAATTTTTTTTAATTTAATTTTTTTCTTTTTGGAGAAAGCGATATTGTAAACAATCCTAATATACAAGAAGGAAGATCCAACTTGAGTGAGGCTGGCATATTGCCTTGGCTAACTGACCTAAACCCATGTCTACGATACAACCTTCTACTTACTTAGACTATTTATTCAATATATATGTACAAAAATACATTTTCCCATGTGAAAATAGGAATAATTTAGGCGACAAAAAGGTGCACAGTGGGTTTAAAAGAATGAGTGGAGGAGACATAGCCCCATTTGATTTCCAATCTTTATCGTTTAATTTTGTCTTGAAGTAGAAGAAAATGAGTTTGAGGAATTAGAAGAATATGATTATGACCCGGTCTGTAGGAAAACTTTAAGAGGAAAAGATGGGAATATATAGACATGGACAAAGCAAGAACATGATGACGAACAAGGACAACAACAACAACGTGAGTAGTGAGGCAACAAACTTTAATTCTAGACCAAATCATTGTGTCTTTTTAATTTGGATTTTGATAACCTCTTCTGTTTGTTTGCTTGTTGCCTTTAATTATTTGTTGAATAAAAAAAAAGATTTTGCTAATCCTCCATTGCCCGACTAAATCGAAGTCTAAAACTTCATTACTACTGCACAAATTTCTTTATTTATAACCGTGTAAGCTCTAATTTAGATTATCACTTATACTGAAAAAATAACATCCTAAGCTCACAAAAATTATATTGAAAGCCCAAAAAGGAAGAGAGAAGCCCATACATAAACATTCACAAAAATTAGAAAACCACAGTCAGCAGACGGCCAGCCAGTCAACCATTGACCCACCAGCTTCCAGACCCATTGCATCAAAAACATATAAAATATACAAAACATATAGAATAAGTTTTTGGGAATTTTATTTGAGTTTCTTGCTCAAGCTGCTGGTTCTGGTTGGACCGAATTCAAAGGACTTTGGTGTTTGCAGTTTGGGACTTTCTCAAATAGTCAAGCTTTCAAACTGAATCTAGACAGAGGAGAGAAACTTTCTTCTGTTTTGGGGAAAAAAAGAGCAAAGATATCCCACTTTTAAAATGGTATGTGTTAGGTGGTCAAGAGATTTTGAAAATATGAATAAATAATCACTAATTTACTTTGACAGAAAGTCAGATTAATTTTCTGAGTGGGTCTAAACACTCTTAAGACCACAATAGCTTAGACCCAAAAAGATAATTAGAATACTCCTTTTTTCCTTTTCATTTTGCTAGCTTGTTCAACCTGTTAGCATATTTAAAGGCTACATGTTTTAAATATATATTTTTATTAAAGACGTATAGTGGCACGGTTATACTATTTAAATATTTTATTTATTTAAAGAGTATAGTCACGTGGTCATAATATTTAAATATATTACTCTTAAAACATATTTCTTTTATTTAAAGAGTATCGCTGAGCAACCATACTGTTTAAATATGTATATTTATTTATTTAAGGGGTATAGCCGCCCGGCTATACGTTTTAAAATTTTGTTTATTTATTTAATGCGTACAGCCGAGTGGCTATACCTTTTAAATATATATATATATATATATTTTGTTTAGGCTATACTCTTCAAATATATTTCTTTCATTTAAGAAGTATAGCCGAACGGCTATACGCGTTAAATATATTTTTCCGATCTGAGGCGTATAGCCGCCCGGCTATACTTCTTAAATAAAAAATATGTCTCAACGGTATAGCCGCGCGGCTATACTCTTTAAGTATATATTTTTATTTAAGGAGTATAGGCGGGCGGCTATACGCTTTAAATATTTTATTTATTTATTTATTTATTTAAGGAGTATCGCCGCTCGGCTATACGTTTGAGATATATTTTTTCATTTAAGTATAGCCGCGCTGCTATACGCTTTAAATATTTTATTTATTTATTTAAGAAGTATAGCCGCACGGCTATACACTTTAAATATATTTTTTAAAAATTTAAGGGGCTATACTCTTTGAACATTTTTCTTTTATTTCAGGAGTATAGCCGCGCGGCTATACGCGTTAATTATATCTCAACTACATAACCATTGTTGGTGATGATGAGTTTCAGTTCAGGTATGTTGTTTATCTTTGAAGTCCAATTGTTTTTGTTCTCTCTCTCTCTGTGGGTTCATTCTAATCGAGTTCCTTAGCTGCTGTTCTAAATTAAATAGCATATATCCTGTTGCAGTCCATTTTCAGTTTCAATGGAGCACACAATTCTGGATTTGATTCTTTCCGTAGAGATTTTCCAAATTACAAAGAGGTTGGCTTTGCCACACCTAATCCCAATACTGCAATATGGTGCAAGACCAGCCCAACTCTCTGTTGCTGACAAGTTGCTCAATATTGCAATCAGGTCCTAGACCAGCCCAACCCAATATCTAGAGCTATCCCATAAGAAACCTTTTATGAAAAAGAAAAGTAATTTTTATTTTTTGAAAAAAATATAATGAATGGAGAAAGAAAGAGGCAGGAGGGGGCTTGAAGTTGAGTGAAAGAAACAAGGGGTGGGCATGAAATTGAATGGGTGGGGATGGTGACGTGCGCCGACTAGCCTTATTACTTTATCCCATGCCCTCATCTTTCACAAAAACATACACTTTGGTAGGTTCTGTCCTTCACACCCACATGTCCATTTTCTTTACCTTCTTCTTCTCTACACACCTTTTTACTGGCCTTATTTCAATCTCCAACTTCCCCCATCACCACAATTCACAGTCAGTCTTTAATTTATTTATTGCCTTTTCACCACCCAAAAGAAAAAAACCCTTTGATTTATTTTTATTTTTATTTTTTACCTTGTTTTGCTTGGAGTGACCAAATTATGTGCTTCTAAATAAGGAAAGGCCATCATGTCTTTACTGAGACCAGGGTTTGGGGAACATGCAAACAGACAGAAGTTGGGAAAATGCAATATCTGGTATCTGAGATGAAATGATGATCTTGATATCTATCTCCCCATCTTTTTTTTGTGGGTCAAACATCTCCTCATCTTCTTGCAGCAGATAGAGAGAGAGAGAGGCAAACACATGACAATATGTTGCACGAGTGAGGTCAATATATTTGATATGCTCAGCAATCAAAATCTATGAATTAATTAATGTCTTTCCTTTTACATTAATTTTGACAATATTGTGATCGATATGTTTGACGTAGCTAGGCATCAAATCATGATACAGATATTACATGTTAATGTTCCCTCCTGCCTGAGTCCTGACAAGTACATGCATGACATCTTGCTGCCATACATTTAATATCTTTACTGTGAAAACTTTAATTTCTTCTCTGTATGTTTTCATGAAAACATTTGAATTTAGTGAAGTCAGCAGGTCCAGCTCTCATATTTATGATCACTTCAAGTTTCTCTTTGTAAACTACAAAAAAGAAAGAAAGTTAAAGCCAGATGAGTTCAGCTCTTCTTCTGTATGCGTAGCCTTTAAAAACCTTCAAGTTCAAGCTTTCGTTTGATAGATAGTGCTCCATTTCTGAAATTCTGATTGTAATTATATTGACCTTTTCTTTGATATGTATATCCAACTTTGCTAACTAAACCTTGGAATAATTGAATATTAATAACCCACTAAGTAAACCCATAAAACAAATATATATATCTATATAAGCAGATATAATGCTTATGATCACAGTATGCAGTTTTTATATCATCAAACTTGTGATCCTCACCACTATTTGTTCACACAGGATAGAGCTCCAAGGTTATAAGCTTGGAGAAACTATTGAAATAATTCTTCAGAAGCAAAGCTTTTCTGGCCCATAAACTTTATGAAAAAAAAGATCTTCTTTCTATAGCTATACATCTTTGCTTTCCAGTTTTCTGTTTCCAAGAAAGTAAAGGGACAAAGAAGAGAGAGAGAGAGAGAGAGAAGCTCAAAAAATGAGATTGTTCCCAAGATATGCAGGTTTGCATTTCCCAGAGAACAATCACAAGAGAGAACATCAACTTTGCAACCATCCTTTTTCTTTGAAACAATTAATGATAATGGAATTTCAAACATATGAGACAGCTGCAGATCATTCAACTCTATTGCACACTCACCAGAAAAAGGACCGGTGACCCCACTTTACCACTAGAGGAATTAGAACAATAAAAACTGAAAATTTCAAGATTAATTAAACTAGAAACTGCTTAAATCAACAAATGAACTGACAAAGGAAACAGCGAAAAAGAAGGGGTTTGCATAGTCATAATACTAATCACCCAATATTAGATCCATACAAAAATTAACCTTCTCAAAGCATCTCTGATTTCATTGTTGGGTAGCTAATTAAGAAGAAGGGGAAAAATAAAATTTCATTTTAAAAATAAAGTGCAGCATAAAATCAAATCTAAACTAACTTGGGATAAATTCCCACACAAGTAGGTGAAGTTTTGCACCTACAGATGCCCAAGTCGAAGTTCCAAATCCACTTCCTCCTTGTGATCTTTGAAGAACCCCATGTCCAAGTCCAGCCTAATAATATTACTCTCTTTCTTCATATCATCAACCTTGTTGAACTCATCATCCAGATCTTTTTGTGCAAAACCCTTCAATATTTCTCCGGCCTCATGATCCACATAACCTCTCTTGCCTTTCTTGGGAATCAAATTAGGAACATGATTTTGAGGAGAGTTGTACTTGAATTTGGGTTTCTTGTTTCCATCTGTAGATGAAGTTGCAGACATCAAAGCCCTCAAAGAAGGAGAAAGCAAGGAGTGACATGATGAGTAATTGTGTGGTAAGCCCTTAGAGGATGAAAGAGAGGATGATGATGATGAAGAGGGAGAAAAATAAGAGCTAGGGTTAGGGTTATGAGGACATATTTCTGAAGAAAGGCTTGGAGGGAGGAGTCTCAACCTAGCTCTGTCTCTCCTGTGGACATTCATATGACCCCCAAGAGCTTGAGCAGACCTGAACTCTCTCTTGCAAAAGCTGCATGCATAGTTTTTTGCAGCCCACGAAATATCACATAAATTTTCTCCTTCGAAGCTGAAGTTGATACAGTCCATTTTTCTTTCTTCCTCCTCTTTGATCGATCTTGAACTCAAATGGGCATTTCCATATGACACTTTTAAGCCCAGTCCTCCAACCTAGCTACAAACATCAAAACAAATTAACACGTTATCCATGTAAAATGGAAAAACCCATCTTTCAGTTTCACAGCTTAAGAGAGAGAGAGAGAGAGAGAGAGAGAGAGAGAGACTCACTGATATTTCAGTGTGCTAAGACTGAAACAAGAAGCAGAAAATGCTCAGATCCTATTTGATGTATAGTGTGGTTGATGTGCAAAATGCTGCTACTATATCTGGATGTTACTTAGCAATGAAAGTGTAGAAACTTAAAAAGTCAGTGTTTTAACTTTTTGCGAATTCTAGGGTGACATCTGCCAAAATTTGCCTTATACCTGCAGACATATATACATGATGAGATGGGAAACTAGCTTAGCTAAGCTAGGTAGGGGCTTGTGATCAGTGGGAAATAGGAATATGGGAATATATGTAAAAGCATGAAATATATAAAAGCTCTCTACGTACTTGAGGGGTGGGTGGGTGGGTGCACCAATTCGTATGAAGACTGTAAAAGATAGGATTTTGTATACATAAGAATTTATTTACATATATATATTTGGAGTTAAAATGGAAAAAAGAACCCCAAAAAATTCACAATTAGATGTTTTCCTGCAATTTAGTTTCGAAACAACATTTTACTTTTTAGAATTTTTTGTTGTCAAATTTAACTTTTTAGATGACAATGTCTTATTTATAAAGGAATTTGATTCATTTGAAACATTTTCTTTTTTATTTAAATGCATTTAAAGTTCACAATTTGAAATCCAAGCTATAACATATGGTATAGGAAGCCTCTTATTTATATGCATATATACTGCAGTATGGAACAAAGGAAAGCTCAGTAGATCGATGTTTCGGGATAGTTTTACTGAAATTTAGGTGATTTCCCCTCATTTTTGCCTCTACCCTGAACCGATTTTTCATCCAAATTTTTCAAGAAAAAAATAGTCGTTTTTTCAATGGTTAATAACTTAATATATTAGGAATGCAAATGGCTTCGATCACTTGCATTTTCCTGCCAAATGTAAACCAACAATGCAGGTTATTTAGAAGAAGAAAAAAAACAACACATTTTGGCACTAGATTTTGCTTGATCTGAATATTAATACACACACACACACACACACTGTTTGTAAACGCCAAGCACCACTATATATGCTCAACCCCTAAAATCAACCCCTTCAAGTTATCTAATAATTAAAGTTAATTACACTGATGGCCAATTAGCTAAAGGCCATGTCTGATTCATGACTTAAATGCTAAACTAAAATAAAGACAAAAAAAGAAAAACAAAAAAAAAAAAAAAAAAAAAAACAGGCAAAAATACTTCTTCTGCCCTTGGGCAATACATTGACAGGAACTCCTCATTAGCTTGCTGCTTCTTGTTAAGTGGTCTTTTGTGTTCTCAAGTTGAGATGGAGGTCCATTACATTTCAACAAGATAAAAAGTAGTCTACAAAGACAATGCAGAAGAAAATTAACTTACTCAAGAGAGTTTTATGATCAACATTTACGCACAATAAGCCCATGGCCGGTTATCAGGGCAAAGTGAAATCACAAAGGATGTTAGTGGATGAGGTCAAACTACATCCTACTCTAAAATTTACTACATTTGACCCCTTCGCTAACACTACCTGACTAAATGATCTACAGCTTCCTGAGAGAAATTTGTCGATCTATGATCCTGTATGAAGCATACGGGACGATATGTTCAAGTCTGGTGTCCTATATACAGTGCCAAAAGTCTGACGTTTTATGAGAGACCCATATCTAAGCAAGAAAGAAGAAAAATAATTAGAACAGGCTCCGTCAGAAGAAGTCATCAAAAGCCCCCCCCTCCTTCTCACTTTCAGATCCTGCAAAAAGTATCATTGAGGGAAAAGGAAAACATAAAACAATGAAACAGAACTTATAAGTTATAAACATAAACCATTTTTATCAAAGTTGCAAGGAGATAACACGATGTGCAAGGAAATGATTTCTGAATTAGGGTATCTTTCAGAAATTGAAAATATTCTGACAAAATCAGTGCTTTTCTCACATAAAAAGAGGTGGCAACAAGCTGATCTAGATTGCGCTTAATTGCAGCGAAGTAATTTCACCATAGGAACACTACACATATTATCATTATTGTCTTTGGTACAATCAGTTACATAGTGGGATCAGTTGCACACTCACTTAGAAAATTGATGTTCCTTCTGGATTATAAAGTACATATAGCCAGAAAATCAAAATACACACAGCTAACTAACCTGAAACATCTCCGGCTGAAATGTCCTGAACTATGAGCTTGAGAGAATTGGTGCATGGGGGAGAAAAGTTAGCTGAGGTTGGAGTTGGAGCTGGAAAAGTAAAATCTGAGTCAGTGGATGAACATTCAGAGTTACTGGAAATGCTATCGAACCATTCATGTCTAACAAAAGGTCCTGCAGTTGTTGAACTTGATTTGGATGCGGTAGATAAGATTGTTTTCAGTTCCGAAACTTGGTTTGACATGCAATATATCATCCTGAAACACACTAGATCATATCTAGAATTAGTCAACTGATTTATGAGCAGCTTTACAAACATCATCAGAATAATTGTAACTTTTCATATATGTAGAAATCTAAATAAGTTAGAAGTAATGTTTGCATCATTGAAATGCTGCCTCTCTCTGGTATTCTCATGTCATTCGTTTTCTCAAAATGATTTTCACTTATAAACTATATATTGCAGGAAAAACTTCAAACAATCAAAATGGGTTAAACTGATGGGGCACACGAGCAAGTAGGAAATTGTGTTTTTTTTCCAGCAGGTAAGACGCACCAAATCAAGCTATATAACCAAATTCATATAATATAATCTCATTATTGCCATATGAAGAGGGCCTTCAAATTTTTTTCGCTATATGCAATTACAAAGCTTTGAGTTGCCCATAACAAAACCAAAATCATATTGCTAATAATTTGACCTATGTACCCAGAGAAAAAGTATCTTATTTGATAGTCGAAAGTAATTTAGACTGGGAAACTCATTTCAATGACTGCGAATTGAAATAATAAAAAATAATAAAATAATAAAAAAACCTATAAGACGCTTCAAAATATATATTTTATTCTATTCCTAACATATAAAAACTATATACTTAAATCCTAATACAAGTGCTTAGAACTAGTCATATATTTCATTTGAAAATTACATCATAGATTCCAAGTTTGTCAGGTTCACAAACAAGCCTCTTTGACCCAATGGAAAGTCAACTTGATGAGGAAATACCATATTCAGTTCTATGCAATCCATGCACAAGCTGAAAGGGAGAAATGAAAAAATGATAAGAGTATAATTCGTAAGCGCATCAACGAGTACTACCTGTTCAAAGAGTCCTGAAGTTGATGTACTATTCTTTCAGTTTCCTCTAACTTTTTACGTCCTTCCTCACTTGATACCCGGGCTTCTACGTATCTCCTTTCACACTCATTGGCTCTTTGTTTTTCTGCTTGCAGCATGGCCTATGTGAAAAGAGATGGAACATTAATTTGTAGGTGCTACAATTCCTAAACCAGTTTAAGATGAGAAAAAATAAGGGAGTTTCACTAAAACACCCAAAATGGGGGTTGAAATTATAAAAAAACCCAAGCACTATTTAAACATATAAACACACCCAAAACCCATCATTACTACACTCAAAAACATTTATAACACACCCAAAAAGTGACTTTGGGGTTGATTTGGGTGTGTTTCTATGTTTAAATAGTGCTTGGGTTTTTTATAAATACATGTTAGGATTGGGTTTATTTATAAATTTGTAAAAAATAATGGAACAAATCTAGAAGAATGGCAATTCCTAAGCTATTGGGTCAATAATCATTACCTTCAGATTTTCAACTTCTGCAGTAAGAATTTTGATCTTTTCAGCATTTTTTTCAGGACTTGGGATTTCTTTGGTAATATCTTAATTTCTATCTGTGAAACCAGAATTTTAGATGACACGTCTGTTTCACCAACTTTGATTACATTACTTTGCACGGAGGACTCCAACTTTGTTGCTTCCACTCCTTTTGCCTTTTCCAATTCAGTCTGCACAAATTATCTAAACCTTTCAGTAAAAAGACTTGAAAGGGATTACCTAGCATGATGCTTCTGATTTTGGATGAAGTATAATAGTCGTTTGTCATTGATTTCTTTACGAGAATTTAAAAGCAGAGATATTTTGTGCAACATTATGGTTGGGCCATTGATTTCAGCATTTGGATCATGACATAGGAATTCTTTGAGAATAGGGCATACTTCTTCAGTTTCTACCTGTATAATGAGACTTCAAACAACACATTTGTTTCATTAACTTTGCTTACATTAGCTTGCACAGAGGACTCCAACTTTGTTGCCTCTTCTCCTTCTGCTTTTTCCAAGTCAGTCTGCACAAATTATCTAAAATTTTCAGTAAAAGAACTTGAAGGGGATTACCTAGCATGATGCTTCTGATCTTGTAGATAGTATAATAGTAGTCTGTACTCTCATTTTGAGAACACTATATATATGTATGTATATACATACATATATATTGAGCTGCATTCACTCAACTAATTAACGAAATACAAGATTCATTTTTGCCCAGAACTATGTTGAAGCAATTTTCCTGCATGTCTTTTGGTCATATTTGAGGATATGGAAGAAAAAAAAATGCCACAGAGGAAGCTAGGTAATTACCTGAACAATAACTCTCGGCTTAGATTGCATTCCACATCTAAAAGCATCACGAGCAGCCATTGCTCGTAAACCTGTCTGTAGACAATTGAAGAGAACTCGGGTTTGAGATTTTCTTGTCAGGAATATCTGCAAATTCTTTGAGAATGTGAAAAGCAACAAACTATGTATTATAGCGAAACAGGAAGCTGGATCACCTGAATAATAACTGCCGCATTAACTCTATATCTAAAAGCATCACGAGCAGCCATTGCCCGTAAACCTGTCTGCAAGACAGTTAAGAGATCATGAATTTGTCTTTTCTCGCTGGGGATTAACACAAATTCTTGGGAAATGCAAAAGGCAACAAACTATGTATATATCAAGTTAGCAACACAAGAAGCTGGGTAATCACCTGAATAATAATTGCAACCTTAACCCTATATCTAAGTTCATCACGAGCAACCATTGCCCGTAAACTAGTCTGTAAGACAACTGAAGAGAACAAGATTTTGACATAGTCTTTTCTCGCCAGGCGTTTACGTGCAGTCTTCTGAATTTTAACTACAGCATTCACCCGCTTCTTGAGCTTATATAACTTGCGAGCCAATTCTCCTGAATCATAACAACGAAATACTTGTGAAATAGTATATGCAGCCAATTATAAAGGTAGTTAGTATACATAGCTGATAAGAGCACTAACTGCTAGGGTAATGGAAAACTACATAAATGAATAAGGGGGATGGGGATCACACTGTAACCAAATCCTACAAAATACATTCAATCAGCTGAAAAATTTCAGGCTTTCTCTTCTTTTTTGCACTCACCTCTGCAAAATGATTGTACACAAATAGAAGCCTCCCGTATAGAAACATACTTTCTACGAGTAATACGAGTTCGGCCTCGCCTTTGAATCACCTGAGCTGAGTCGCCAAGCATGAGTGTTCTCTTTGCATCTAGCTCAGCCATCTGACCAGCTCTTAGGAAAACCTTTGTTTTCCCTATCTGGAAAAAAACTATTTACAACTTAGTTGAATATATATGATGTCTTGTTAAAAACACCAAAAAAAAAGAGATATCTTGCAAGTTAAAGACATAATATTTGATTTGATGTGATTTTCAGACTGGCCCTATAAATGGGCCATGAAGCAGCTGTTTTGAGGAAACTCCATTATTGAATTACAAAAGAATTTTCGGTCTTGAGTTTCTATCTTTCCCTCCTCCCTCTTCCGTTCCCTCTTCTTTTTGTTATTTTCATTGGGTTCTGCATCATAGCTACTTCAGTCAACAATAGTCATAGGTTAGGAGCTTGCTTTGCAATTGTGGTTTACCACCAAGGCGAAGCCAAGTAGGAGTTCCAGAAATTTCTGTTGTGAATCTTGTGTTTGTCAACATAAGAGTGATTGATACAAAGTAATGGTTCTTATTACCTGATAATCTTTAAGCCCCATCTTCTCCAGAATCTTTTCGCAGGCTTCGTTTTCAGGACAGCTGATAATATAGGCATTAAGTTCAGAAATGGGAACATAACCAAACATCCATGAATAAGCAGAAAAGCCAGCAACAATATGGAAGATAACAATGTGACAACATTAAAAGTGAAAGCATAAGGTGGCACTTACTCCATTTTTAGAACCTCAGGGGCCAGGATACGAAATCGAGTTAAAAATTCAAAAAAACTCCTGTAAGTAGGGTATCCTGCACATTTTATTCGGACTGCCTCTAAAACACCCTACACAAATAACAAACTATAAATGCCACCAATTGATAATAAGTAATAGTACTATACACACAGTTCCCATTGTACTTACACCAGAATGTAGTTGTTGCACGACATTGATATTCTCAAATATTGCAGGCTTTAGGACATTATTTGGCTTTATACATCTAATGTAATGGGGTTCTGTAGCATTTAGTGTTTCCATCAAGTGTTGGAGTTGTAGCTGCACCAATAAGGTCAGAAATTAAGTTTCACCTTTCTGCAGTAAATTGTTTCGACACATGGAATAATTTGATAATAATTTCTTGGGCAAAATCCAAAACAATTGTAAGCAAATTTTCTTTCTTTCTGAGACCAGAATTGTAGACAAGAAGATAGCCAGAATAGGATACCTTAAAACGAGAACTGATAGATGAGAACTTGGAAGATTTGGCCGCCTCCTCAGTAAGTGAAGGGAAAAGGCCTGCTACGAAAGAGCATTTTGAAGCACTCAACAAATCTCGATGCTCTGGAACAATATAGTCTTTATTTTTGTCTAGAAATTGATCAGACTGATATTGTACCTAAAAAAAAGCAAAAATAAGTGAAAATACTTCAGTGGAAACCACAGTACAGATGATGGATTTCAGAACAAAATACAATAACCAAGCTCACTTCTCCTGCATAATGAACAATGGTGAAATCTGAGCGGGTCAGTTTTGGCTTGATGAAGCGTTTGTTATCTTTGAATGTCTGATACAGCTTTTGTGAAAATGTGTCATGAGTTGATTTTGGAAACATGCTGTAAAGAGACAAAGTTAACCCCCAAAAAAAAAAATCTGATTAGACAATGGTTGGATGAGTCCTTTTTCCATCTAATTGTGCAAAGAATTAAAGTTTTATAAAAACGTTTCATAAAGGATATACAAAGGATTAGATGGCCATCAATAAAATATCTAATTGATTAACTTGGTGGGCATGAAAAGTAGGGCCAGAACATTTAACGTAATGGTGGAATCCATACTTGGATTACAAATTTACACTGAAAACAACAGTTAATGGATAAAATATAGAGCAGTTTCTGGATTTCATACAAATCTGGAGATATACTATTCATTTAATATGAAGTACCTGAGCAGGAACCTCTGTGTGAATGTGTGTGTGTGTAATTTTAGTCAAGAACATGGGGATTTTACCATCCTAACTTCACCTAATGAAGCATTTGAGCAGGAGCTTCTTGTGTGTGTGTGTGTGTGTGTGTGTATAATTGAAGCCAAGAATGAAGAGATGTTCATACCAAGCTTCATCAAGCAGAGCAATAATTCCACCTTTTTTCTGCAGAAGCGGAATCAATTAGTTAAATTGTGATGTGTGGATATAGATGATTCAGTATATTACTTTCTCATAGTTTAACTGCTGAATGAACAGATCAGCAATACACAAAAATGAAACCACGACAGTAGATTCAATGTACCATTTGGAAACGCATGCAGAGTTTCACCAATTATTAATATTGCTTGAAAGACATTCTGGCTCCAGAATAGGGGATACAAATCAGCAAACATGAAGTCCCATATATATGATCATTCATAAGGACTAACATCATGAGTGATGCATGATGCATCAAAGGAAAAGGGACAAGTCACTGCTTTTAGAATAATTTAAAGTTTTGGAAACTTAAAGGTTATAACATGTCGGCTTCGTGTCACCTCCAATGGGAGCAGACTTATAAGAGTTTACGAGCTATGTAAGTGCTTTTCTGTTAACATTAGAGGGAGGGAGAGAGAGAGAGAGAGAGAGAGAGAGAGAGAGAGAGGGTGAAAAGACCTGTTCAATGAGATCCAGGACATCTTTATTATCAACAAATTCTATGTAGCTCCAATCAATTTCCTCTCTAGTGTACTCCTCTTGTTCCGACTTGAATACATGCTGAATCACATCATAACACTTAGATGGTACATTGAAAAGAATGACTAAAAACTCAAGTTTTCAAGTATGACTAACCTCATACCTTGTTGAAATGTTGTTGCAGCTTTTCATTAGTGTAATTAATACAGAACTGCTCAAAACTGCATTAATGGAACATAACAAGTTAGGACTAAGAATAACGTAGTGGGATTCAAGCTAAATTTAATCTGGGATCCTCCTTTCTAATTATTTGTAGCTGAGTAAATTCAGATTCAGCAATATCCCGAGGATTCCCCAAGTACCTTAGTGCAGGTCAGAAGTTCACGCCACCTGATGCTAGGTAGTATTAGGTCTTCTAATGCATACCAAATATAGATGAGAATGTATTTTTGTTTATGCTAAATGCATAAAACACAGAACCCTTCCCAAACATATCTATGAATTCTACATTTTCGGCAATCAATCATTACCTGTTAGTTTTAAAGCTTTCAAAACCATATATATCAAGGACCCCGATCAGACATTTTGAGCTAGGGTCTTGTCCAATTGAGACATTGATTTTATCCACCAACCTGGACATAAAAAACAAACAGAAAAACCAACATTGTTAAATGCTTCATTTCCACAGTAAGCAGTTTAGTAAAAATGATTCAGAAGCTAGCATCTTACCAGTCAAACAAACGAGAGTATATAGTCTTGGCCAAACCATCTCTGCTAACTGTTGCGCCATGGGGATCAAGACTTCTTTTAATAATTTCTTCAGGAGTAACCATTACACGCTTACACAGTGCATCTTCCAGTGCACGAGGATTACACCTGATATACGAATAAGACAGATGAAAACTGCACTGTGATTGACAGAAAAAAAAGAGAGTATGAATTATGTCTAGAGCAAAGCTTGCGTCGCACATTAGAAGTTCTGCTGTCATTTGAAGATGAAAAAGGGATTCATCATTTTTCAGAACAGATGAATCATTATCTTCCCCATTGGCAAAATCAATATTACCAAGATGAAGAATTGCAGCAACAACACTGAAAATAGCCTCCTGAGAGAGAGAGACAGAGACAGAGACAGAGACAGACAGACAGACAGACAGTTATTCCCAGATTTTCTGTATAATGATGCTTAACTTAGCATTAAACAAATGCAGATTTAAATCAAAATAATATACCTGTTCTACTACACTTATTCCAACAACATCCATGGCTCTCCTTGTGGAGAGATAATTATGTTCATCACTTATACCATCCAGTTGATAGCAATTTGATTGATTAAGATAGTGATATGACTTAGGATCTCCCAACTTATACTTCTCTTTTTCCTGATATGACTTGAAATCTGTCAACCAGAAATTTTGTGAAATATCAAAAATATTCACTGAAGTAGAAAACTGAGCTATGTACCTGTTCCGGAGCAGCACAAAGGAGATAAAAACAGTGATAGTTACGCTCTAAATCAGAAATTTGGCAAACACGAGATCTCTCTAAGAGATAAGTTCTGATGGCTGCCCCCGATATTCTACCACGTTTATCAAATTGAATCTCGACAAATTTCCCAAAGCGGCTGCACCAATATATTCAAGAGAACAACAGTAGGTACAGAAACTATTTAGGAAATTTCATTGTCTGGTATAAAGTTTTAGAAATAGATCATGTAGATCCAAAGACATGCCAAGCGTATTCTATTCAAAATATATTAAACAAAACAGTACCAACAGCAAAAACAGCACCAAAAGAAAAAATCTCAAAGCATTTAACAATTTCTCACCTGGAATTGTTATTCTTAACAGTTTTAGCATTACCAAAGGCTTCAAGAACTGGATTTGACTGCACCATGTCAGTTACAACAACAAATTTTTTAGAAGGGTACAAGTTAAAACAATAAAAGAAATATTACACAATTCAGAAAAAATTAATTAATTAAAAGATTGGCACTTAACATCATTTTCTTTAGTGATGGGAAAGGATATTTATGCAAGGCTTCAGATCTCATTCTACCATTAAATAAAAACGTTAGCTACAGTAATATGGTTTCAGCTAATCAGCTTACTTCTAAAACTTGTTGTTCAACAGTCCGTCCTTCAGCTGCAGCATTTCCGCCCAAATAGGCAAGGTAGCGCATAAGCATTTTAGTTGTTTCAGTCTTACCAGCTCCGCTTTCCCCACTAACCAGAATAGAGTTGCTATTACCCTCATTAATCATTTCCCTGGTTAGATTTGGAAAATTCAGTAAAGTAACTGCATCATCTTTTAAGGAGGAAAAAGTAGGATGCAAAAGAAACACAGTTCACCTGTATGCAGCATCAGCTATTGCAAAAACATGAGGACCCAGTTCTCCAAATGGCACTCCATTATACCGTTCCATCATAACAGTATCATACAGATGTGAGAGACTTTGGAATGGATTGATGGCGATGAGAATGTTTCCGGTGTAAGTCTGCCATGATGTCAAAGTATTATAACAGAGACGCCCAAAGCTGCAGTGATTAATCATTTTCTTCACCAGGGAGTACATTAATTGATCGAAACTAAAGATAAGAGAAATCTTACATAAATTTCATTGCTCTCATATCTAGTTGCCAAATTACAAAGAACTCCAGGTTCATGCAAGTATGATAGCTTAGTCATGTCATCAACTCCACCAGCAGGCATTTCCATATCCTTTGGATATATTTTTGACACCTTTGCAACGACCTGACCAATATGAAAGTAGGTCAGTTTAAGAAATAGACAAACTGGTATTACAATAAAGCTGCATATGAAACGAATTTTGGCACTTGACTTAAGGGAGTCCTTTTTTCTATACAAGAAAACTCCTATAAGAAGAAGAGATTTTCTGTCACTCCCAAAGGGGTAACAGAACTGCATAAATTGCTGCAGAAACTAAAAAATATAACAAGGATCATATGCTTATGTAATCTTTCAGATCAGGAGAAAATAAAAAATCATATAGAAGAAGGAGAGGAGGAGGAGGAGAAGGAAAACTGATGGAAAAAGGGGAAAGCCACATTGATGCAGACACATCCAACACTAAACAGCAGGTCCGTTTTCTTCTTAAATAACATCTTTAAATTTCTAAGCAGAAACAAGAATCATGCAGAAAACTCCTGCAGAAGCTTGTTTAAAGAGTAGTGTAAGGCCATTTTCTGTAATTGTTAAGAAAAGGCTTCATACTTGAATTCCATTTCTTAACTCTGTATCTTTAGTTAGCCAAAAATACAAACAAACAAAAAAGAATCACAAGCTTGAAACACAAAATTTGGCCTCAAAACTGCTACTTTTTATCCTATGACCCAAACATGTATTAATCAAACAAATTCCAACGAAGATAATGCACCCAAAATTCTTGAAACCAAAACCAGAAAAATAGATTCGAAAAATGTTGGATTTAAAGACAAATGAATAAGACCAAAAGATTCAGATTTAAATAACAACAACTCTTCCAAAAATAAAAAAAGATAATAACAACTCTGTACCTTATTCCCATTACTAACTTGAATCTCAGCATCCTCTCCCTTAATATTTATTACTTCTCCGTCAATCCAAACTAATTCTGGATTTTCAACCCAAATTTGAGAACCAACAACAATGGTCACTGGCTTGCCCTGCAGCAGTTGAAAAAATTTACTACATAATCGGTTCAATGCCTTCTTTTCCCTTTCAGTAAGCAGTGAAAAGCTGGAATGTTAGTAAAAGTAGCTTAAATCTCTTTTGCTTTCATAATATGTACACACAAATAGTATAGCTATACATGCTACCAAGGTAGAAAGAAAAAAAAAAAAAAAAAAAAAAAAAAAAATCATGGGATCTCATAATTTAGCCCCTAAGTTTTCAATATAAAAACCACTTAGGCAGTCTTCTTAATGACTATATATGTGTGTCCATGTAGCCTACTTCTGAATGTATACTAAAAGTTTGAACAATTACTTGGAAACATCGAACTTTCTACCAAATTTCTTAGATGAAAACCTCCATCTGTACTCTCTTTTTCTCAATCTAAGGCACCTAATTCTCTATTTTTTGGTGAAAAAATCACATCAGGAGCAGCATTTGCCTTTACTGCATCTTCATGGAAAATTCACATATATAAACGAGAAATGTAAAACTAAGTTTACCATTCTGATCGATTCTCAGAGAGAAACCCAGAAACGTAGCTACTCTGCTGTACACGAATCAAAAACCCATCAAACTTTCAACGATCTTGGTTCCGATTTCTCATCAAAAATGAAAGATTTAGACTGGCAAACGAAAGCTTGCAGAAGTTGCTTACTCTTTCTTTTGTTTTTTTTTCTTTGTTCGTTTAGCACTGCCTTCGTGTCCTTTGGTTTGTGGAAGTGGCAGTCTTCGCACGCCCCACAATTTCGCCATTCTTGTGGCTCTCTCTCACTCTCTTCGCGCCTTACTCTCACTCAATTGAGAAGAAAGAGACGACTGTTAAACGTTTAGTTACAAAGGGAGTTAAGGCGCTGTTTGAATTAACGTAACTCCAACGCGTTTGTTTTCGCGTTATTTTAACGTCTCGTTAACTGATTTTTTGGGCTCATTACTAATATGAAAAAGCCTCTTATTTCTTTGGGTCCAAACAAAGCGGTATAAGACCAACGGTTCTGAAAGTGACTTTGAGCCCAACCCTACCTACTCAATGTGGGCCCCAAACCAATAGTCAAACTTAAGTTGTATTTGATTATTTACAAATTCAATCTTAATCTAATTTGGATTGATTAGTAAATTGATCTAATCATGTTAGATTTGTGTTTCTAAATAAATTTTTTAGATCTTAAATTAAGTAAAAGAAATTATTATTTTCAACTCGAAAATTATTATTAGATTTGTGATTAGTAGGATATCAAATGGACTCTAAAATTGTCAACTCTAATTTAGAACGAAAGAATATGAGAGTGAAAATTTTGTTCTTTAGGGACAAATTTTTGTTAGACTTAGTCCGATGAATTTTGTTATTTCTCGATATCATTTAGAACTCAAATTTAGTGTATAAATTTGGTGTTCTGCATTATTGTTTAAAAAAAAAACGAAAAGGATTAATCAACCCCAAGTGTGAGAAAACTGTAGCCTTTTGGACATTGACGAAAGTGTGTAAGAGAAAAGAAAAAAAAACAAAATAGCTTAAACTACTCAAACGCCAATCCAGAATGAAAGAATATGAGAGTGAGAGTCAGAGACTTTATAGACGTGAAGAAGAATAAGAAGAAGAGGAAATGATCCAACCCACACATTCATCTCCTTCTTCATCTTCATCTTCTTCATCGCCATCTTCACCACAATTGATGCAGATCTACGAAAGCGTAACCCTAATTCCCGGTCTCCCAAACGACGTCGCAGCACTCATTCTCTCCTTCATCCCCTACTCCCACCAATCCCGCCTCAAACCAACCTGCAAATCATGGAAGCTCTTCCTCTCCTCCAAAACCCTAATCGCTCTTCGCCAAACCCACCGTAACCTCTCTCACCTCCTCTGTATCTTCCCCCAAGACCCCTCCGTAGCCTCTCCTTATCTCTTCGACCCCCAAAACCTAGCCTGGTGCCCCCTTCCCCCCATGCCTTGTAACCCCCACGTCTATGGCCTCTGCAACTTCTCATCCCTCTCCATTGGCCCCCACCTCTACGTCATCGGCGGTTCGCTCTTCGACACTCGCTCGTTCCCGATCGACCGTCCATCGCCGTCCTCCGCTGTCTTCCGATTCGATTTCAACACTTTCTCGTGGGACTTCCTCGCCCCGATGCTCACGCCACGTGGCAGCTTCGCCTGCGCCGCGGTTCCGAGCTCCGGCGAGATTCTCGTCGCTGGCGGTGGCTCTCGTCACACGCTGTTCAGCGCCGCTGGAAGCCGAATGACCTCGGTGGAGCGATATGACATCGGTAGAAATGAATGGGTTGCCATGGACGGGTTGCCGGGTTTTCGGGCCGGGTGCGCGGGGTTCTTTGTTGGGGAAGGGGAGGAGAGGGAGTTCTGGGTGATGGGTGGGTACGGCGAGTCTAGGACGATATCAGGAGTTTTTCCAATAGACGAGTATTACAGAGACGCCGTGGTGATGGAATTGAAGAATGGGAATGGTGGTGGCAGGTGGAGGGAGCTCGGGGATATGTGGGAAGAAGGGGAAAGGGTGAGGCTCGGCAAAGTTGTCGTAATCGAAGATGGTGATGATCGTGGACGCCCTGCTGTTTTCATGCTTGATGGGAATGATATATTCAGGTAGTTTTTCCATTTTCTTAATTTTTTGTGTTTTAAGTTCGGGCTTGAAGTAGCATTGTATGTTCTGTTCTGCTAGTAACAATTGATTCAAATTGGATTGAGATTATTCATGTAGATGTCAGTCTTAAATACCTCTACTAAGCTTTAAGGTCAAATGTTTTTGCTCTGAATTGTGAGTTCCCTTGTTGGATTTTTTTGAATTGGATGTTACTTAAATTCAGTTTAATGGGCAACAGTTGTTTTCAGATGAACTAAATGTGTGATTTAAATAGAAAAAATTTGCTGCTGCCTCATGTTCCGGGTGTATTGATGCTTCAGTTTCCCACAACATTATTGCATTTACTTCAAAATTACCTGGTATTGAATGATTAATGTTATTTTGATTGAGAGTTGTGCCCGAACTTAGTGTTAGATTTCTGTAATTATTGGCCTTATAGGGTTTGAAATGTTAGTTGACTAGATCATGCAAATGTAAGTATAAGTACTCAGAAATGCTGAGTTGCTGAGATGGTCCAGTCTAGAGTAGGTACTTAGAGATATTCATTGAGAATTTTTTTTTTAAGTGGACTGGTGAAATAAGGGTGTAAGAACTTAGATGGAGTTGACTTTTGTTCCCTTTGCATCCTTGGTCCCCTTCATTGGTTAAACATAACAAAAGGGAAAACATGTGTGCATGAGAGAGGACTATCTGAAGTGGAAACATCAAAATGTTCATTGATCTAAAGTCCTAATCCGCATATAGTAACTCTTTTTTTTTACCTTTTTTTTTTGTAAGACTGTCCAAGCTTTGCGGAATGCTGGAACTCTTTATGTGGCTCAGTCATATTTTATATATAACACCATTGAAGCATTGTCTTTGGATTTGCCTGTAAAGAAACAACTGGGGAGGGGGCGGATCTTGAACTTATTATGATTCTCCATGACGTAGTTTGTGCTTATATCTCAGGCTGAACATTATCTTTATATTCCACCAAAAGGAGAATGCAGAAGACAGAGTTTGAAGTCTTCTGTTAAGCTATATTGAACTAATAAAACCTAACAGACAGTGTCTGTTATGCTTCAGTTATTTCTGATGATTTAAATTGGATGGTTATGTTAATTTAAAGTTTATGACTTAGATGACATGGTCTCTGGAGTTCCTTTGACATAGATTCTACTTGGCAATAATGGCTGTGATGCTTTAGCTTCCTTTCTATTGAATTGATTGTGGTTTCATGAGGTGAAATGTTGTTTATCATAACAAAAAAGTTGAGAGATGCATAGTTTTATTGGACAATCTGTAGAAGCTATTCTACTATGTGGGACCACATTCTTGTAAGTTCGCTTTTGTGTATGCTTATTAATGTCCTTTTGGGTGTATGTCATATGCCCCCAGTTTATGTGTGTCCTTTTGAATTTCTCCCACTATGAGTGCTCCAGTACCGTATGCTGTCCCTAATTTAAAGAACATCATCTTGTATAGGAAATTAGAACTTGAAGACCTAACTGGAATGCAGCCACTTTAAAACTTGCCCTTCTGCATTTGATCTTTCAATGATGATTTTCAAAGGAAGTTATTGCTTTTGTTGCTTAAATGCTGTCTACTGCACTGCAGGTATAACATGGCTTCAAATCGCTGGTTTAAGGAGTCACGTATACCAAGAAAGGCTCCGTGCAACTCATTATTTGGATTTGTTGTATTGGACGGAGAGCTGCATGCAATCACCCTTTTGAAGGCAGTTGAGACAACAGAAACCCGAAGGTCGCGACTGCATAAGAGGGCGGGAACGCTGTACATCCAAATATACAATCCTAAGAAGAAGACATGGAGATCTCTCATTACGAAGTCGCCTTTCCATTACAGCTTGGATTTCAATACTGCAGTTATGAGCACCATTCACTTGTGAATTTCAATTCTTATTGTGCGTACTCATGTTAATAGACCGATTGATGTGCAGCATTGTCTATATTGGTCCACCTCACCTGGTCCATTGCTGCCAGCATATTTGTAAAGCCCTTCAATGTACAGCAGACTGAGATATATAGATCCTTATCTGTTAGTGAAGAGCTAATTAGTTAAGGTTGAATTCATATGAGTTTCATATATTGTATCTGTTGTTTTTCCAGACTCCAGTGATTAAATATAGATAAAGTTCTGTGTTAAATAGCTTTTTCTTTTCTTTCTTTTTCCCCCAGTGCATCCATCACTCTTTACTGGTGTAGCATCTAAAATTTATCTGCTTAGTATGATCTAATGTCTATCTACCCCAAGCCCATTTCTGGGTTTGAGTTCAGGTTTTGTCCTTTCCGTAGATTATTATTTTTTAATTTTAGAAAGATAAAATCCTGGGTTAGATTCATCCATTATTTTTTGGTAGCTTCATTCATATCTCAATAGTCAATCTAATTCTGACGTAGAAAACTTTACACGTATTTTCAACAGATTCACTGGTGTTTACCTGTTACACGTATTTTCGACAGATTCACCGGTGTTTACCAGCGGTATACAAACATGTGTCTATATCTCTTTCATTTTTCATTTATACTCAACTGGCCTTCTCTTCTGCTCAAACAAAACGGCTCGTGTTAGAAAGTCCAGTCGTTTTCCCCACAAGAGGTGTCTTCTCAGAACAACAGAATGTCGTGCAAAAGTTGCCACCCAAAAACAGAATGCCGTGTAGGAATTCAGCACGTGCAAAAAATTGAGACCAAACCTACAGACATTCAGGGACCAAAGTAAGGTTTCGCTTTTCCACCAAGTTTTGAGTGCAAAAAATTTCAGAACATGACGAAGCAGAATTGAGATATATATATATATAGCGTGAAGAATGGTCCAGTCAAACTCAATCCAGATTGCAGCCTTAAACCTCAACATATATGGCGACTTTTATCTGCTGTTTTATTGACTCAAAATTGAGATACAAGAAAATTCCTATCAGAGTAAGTCAACCCAAAATCGCGGTTTAACATTTTGTCAAACTTTTGGGATGTCAAGGTCCTTTGTAAACCAGAGAGTAAATAAACGCATATGAAATTTTAATAGAAAAACTAAGGCAACAGGGTTTGAATTCGTTTTCTTTGTGCCTGAAAATGCATGACATTGTAGAAAGAAAAAAAAACGTCTGTTTGCAAGACTCCTCTGTTCTGACCCATTCAATTTTTTAATGCTGTGCTTCACCTCAATTATATATAGTTTGGCCTTCCGTTTTGTCTTTGTCTTGCTAAACAATATACTTGAACAAGAAGAAAATGTTTGAATGTGTTGTTAGTATTGGCGTGTGCCAACCCTTTACCCGACATGACATGCTCAATACTTTAGACAAAAAAAATTTGAATTTTCATGGTGATGACTCAAGACCTTGAAAATATGATATATGATAGTCGCTAATATTATTGTTTAAGTCGCTATTTTATTATTATTTTTACAATATAAAAGAATCGAACTCTTGACTTAGCCTAATTCTAATTCATTTCTTTACCCACTTTCGCCCCGGAATAGTGAACCTAACGTCATCTTCATATGTAAAAAACTTGACCTTGTTATTTGAGCATCTGTCAAATTCCTCGTTCTTATTATATATTATTACGTAATCACTTATTATCTTTTGTTCCATAAATTTCTTTTTATCACTATTTCCAAAAATGTAAACAATGGAAAACAGCATTGAGTATGTTAATTGCATGCATGACTCAGGTTGATGCATATTTTAGATATCATGCATGTAGAAATGGTGAATGAAGGAAATAGTTTGGTAGAGAAGATCTCTGTATTTGATTGATACGTGAATGTATAATATAGCTACAGCTTTATACAAACTGAGAAAGTCTTATTCTAGGAAGGAAATAAAACAATTGAATGACATATATACAAGGAATCAATCAACCACCCTATAATCTGGGCATATCAAATATGACTTGAGACTCACTATTCATTTTTCAAAATGAGTTTCCACAAGGGTCGGCTTCAAATTGGGGAAGCTAGCTAGTGTGAGGTCAATTACCTTTTCTTTTCTCTTTGGCACCATCGAAAACAATAAGCTGTAGTAATAAATTGACCTCAAAGTTCTTTTCAACTCACTGTTAGAGGTAAATAGATAAGAAAATAAGTTGGTTTTAATTATCTTCTCTCTTAAAGATACAAAGTGTATGAGACTTATACAAGTTACACATACATGCGAAAAAAATAAATTAAAAAGAATGAATTTCCTCTTGGTATTATTCTGTTAAATTCTATACATTGTGAAGCTGATACACATTTTGTACAACTTACACAACTTACTAAAGAACAAAAAACAAGAAAACCCCAGAAAATTAAATCAACTGAATGTTGGGAACTAAAATCATTGGTATGGCTGAACTTGGATATGCAGATGCCCCCCTCTGCAGGCTCTCCTAGCTCTTTGTTTGGTACTCTACTTCAAGGGATTGTCGGATTAGAGCCGCTGGACGGGACAGTACCGCTAAGGATTTGCTTGATCAGAGGGAAGAAGGGACGATTAAGATTAGAACTGCCCCTAATTTGCAGTACATCTTTCTTCACCCTCATCGTCAAAGTCTCTTCCCCATGCAGCACTCTGCAGGCCTCGTATGAGTGCATGCTCATAAGAAAAACTACTACCATGGCCACCAAAAGCATGTTTACAAACTTCATTTTGTTGGGCAAATAGGAAAAAATTTGCTTTTGCTGCTTTTTTCTGTTTGGATTTCTTTTTTGTGATCGCTCTGCAACGCAAACAAAAGATGTAATGAATGAATGAATGAAGAATAGATGGGGCTATGGGGCTTTTTATAGATACGCATATCATAATGGACCAATTTTGCATGACGTGAGTTTGAATATATAAATCTATTCGTTGTTTTGACTATTTGACGATTATGTTAAAGTGGAATTGAATGGGTCGTGCCATACCCAAAAGGAACCGGGTTTGTGAACCTTATATACTCCAATTGAAAGAGTTGAGAGTATATCAAAACAAACACCTTTTTTTTTTTTTTTTTTTTTTTTTTTTTTTTTTTTTTTAATTTAAATATATGTAATTCAAAATATTTTAGGTATAATTTATATTTTTTTACTTATTTTCTAGTATATATATATATATTGTAATTAAGTTTACCTGATTCAAATTTTATTTTAAAATAAAAAATTAGTAGTACTAGAGGTATGTTGACCTATTCTTCTTACTATTTGCTTGCATCGCAAAAAAAAAAAATTAAATAAACACGTCGCACACTTGAACTGAGAATTGAGCTTGGCAGGGAGGGAAGCGTGTACGCGGCTTTTGAAAGTTGAATGTTTTGAACTTGAAAAGTATTGGTGTGTGTTAACCTTTTACACGACAGGATATGTACACTACTTGGGTTGTGTCAAATGAATCTTAAAGTAGTTTATTTGGAATCATATTTCATAACCAAATGCGATAATTTAAACTACAAAGGGGAGGGGGTTTCTCACACACACACTACATACCAAAGTGTCATGCGGGGTTTGAACCTGAGACCACTGATATGCAAATCAAAGTTCTTTTCCATCAATTATGTACTATTTATAGCCTAAAACACATCAAATGTAATGACACAACATGTTACATTATTTTTTTTTAATACAAGTAATCTAAATTATTATAATCTATGCAAAAAGGGTCTAACTCAGTGAAAATAAGGAGTATTGACTGGTAGACCAGTAATTTTAGATTTGAACCCTTATGACACTTTGATATATGGATTGTCATGTCATGTGCCACGTTAATTAACTAAAAATTGGTAAATGGGTTGATGCTCATTGTAGATAGCATGCCCCTAATGTGAAATATTAGACTTTGTGCATCTACTATGCGTGCGAAGTGAATTTCCAAAAGGGTTGGCTTCAAATTGTGTCAGCTAAATTTACCAAAGTGAAAGATGTGAGCAAAAACACGGCACCAAATAGAGAATGATCGTTGAAACCAACTTTTTACTGAATGTGACCTTTTATTTTTCTCTTTGACACGAAACGATAAGTTCGACTTGAAGGTGCCTGCCAAATATGGCATGTACGTATCACGGTCAACCAAGGTCAGAGGTGCTTGCTTCTGGTGATGTTGTGATGTTTACTATGTACGTGTTTGATTTTGGTCCGAAATTGCAGCATGAACTATATATTTGCACTTCTGCAGTGTAATTTCTATATATTTCTATATTCAAATATTGAAGTAAAACAATAGCATATAATAAAAGAAGTAAAAGCATTTTTCTAGATTTTATTTTTCATTTGCTGGTCGACAAAAAGGCAATATCTTTTAAACTCATATCTGTTATTCCATACTTGATATTATTTTGTCAAATTCATATACATTTTGTATAACTTACACAACTTACTAAAGAACAAACAAACAAAAAAGAAGCCCCAGCTTTCAGGTATTTTCCTGTGCTTAATTATTCATTACCTAGAAAATTAAGTTAATTAAATATTTGGAACTAAATCTTTGGTGGTTGATGGTTGAACTTTGATATGTAGATGCCCCCTCTGCAAACGTACGTACTACTTCAAGGTTTTGTGGGATTTGGACCGCTGGACGGGACAGTACCTCTAAGTATCTGCTTGATCAAAGGGAAGAAGGAGGGAGGATTAACACCCCTAATTTGCAAAACATCTTTCTTCATCCTCGTCACCATCAAATTTTCTTCCCCTTGCAACACTCTGCAGGCCTCATATGAGTGCATGTTCAGAAGAAAAACCACTACCATGGTCACCAAAATCACGTGTACAAACTTCATTTTGTTGGGCAAATGACAAGAAATGTTTTTTTTTCTTAGGGTTGGGTTCCTTTTTTGATCGCTCTGTATGCAATGCAAGCAAAAGATTGAATGAATGAATGAATAATAGAGGCGAGATATAGGGCTTTTTATATGCATCAATATGGACCAACTTACATGAACATGAGTTGGATTTTTTCAATATATGTATCTATTTTATTCTTTGTTTTGACTATTGACAATTATGTTAAAGGGTTTAGGATTGAATGGGTCGTCGTCATGCCCAGAAGGGGAACTGAGTTTTACTAATGCACATGTGGCCAAAATTTATAATTTGGATTAGACATAATTAGAATTTTGGGTTCTAAGATTTTTGGACTTCGGGTTATATTAGGAACTTTAGGTCCTTAAATATAAATTATTAAAATGAAAACAAATAACATAATATAACAATAAAAATAAAATAATAATTAAATACTGAAATAAAATAAATTGTTGGAACTTTTGGTTCCAGTTTTAAAAAAAAATCAAAGAACTTCAAGTCTTGATTTGCTAAGAATTGTAGAATTCCAAGTCCTATATAAATATTATATGGATTAAGAACTAAAAGAATTCGAGTCTTTATTTAATTATATAAGAATAATTTAGGACTTCCGTTCCTTGCATAAAATAAAAACCCGAAGTCCTATAGGTTCTCCATGATTCCAATAGCATTACAACTACTATATAATATTAAATCCAACTTTGCAATCATGATACTTGCCACATGGATAAGACTAACTTGCTCTGATCTGATGACATGCAAACGAAGAGATGGTGGGGACTCAGCTCAGGTCAACAACACTCACGATATTGATTCATGAAATAAATATCATAAATTCTTTTTTCGTTTTGTTCTTGGATTATGGGATGAAAATTGTGATATTTTTGGATCATAATTAGAAAGCAGAGAACAACCCACTATTTATTTCCCATTTGATGATTAAAGACAGACCCTAAACCTTAGATGGAGTCGACTTTTGTTCCCTTTGCACCCTTGGTCCTCTTCATTGGTTAAACATAACAAAAGGGAAAACATGTGTGCATGAGAGAGGACAATCTGAAGTGGAAACATCAAAATGTTCATTGGTTTAAAGTCCTAATCCGCGTAGAGTAGCTCTTTTTTTATTTTTGTAAGACTATCCAAGCTTTGCGGAATGCTGGAACTCTTTATGTGGCTCGGTCATATTTTATATATAACACCATTGAAGCATTGTCCTTGGATTTGCCTGTAAAGAAACAACTGGGGAGGGGACGGATCTTGAACTTATTCTGATTCTCCATGATGTAGTTTGTGCTTATATCTCAGACTGAACATTATCTTTATATTCCACCAAAAGGAGAATGCAGAAGACAGAGTTTGAAATCTTCTGTTAAGCTACATTAAACTAATAAAACCTAACAGACAGTGGCTATTATGCTTCACCTGGTCCATTGCGGCCAGCATATTTGTAAAGCCCATCAATGTACAGCGGAATGAGATATATAGATCCTTACCTGTTAGTGAAGTGCTAATTAGTTAAGGTTGAATTCATATGAGTTTCATATATTGTATCAGTTGTTTTTCCAGACTCCTGAGATTAAATATAGATAAAGTTCTGTGTTAAATAGCTTTTTCTCTTCTTTCTTTCTTTTTCTCCCAGCGCATCCATCACTCTTTACTGGTGTAACATCTAAAATTTATCTGCTCAGTAGCGTCATATCTCAAAAGTCAGTGATTCTCATGTTTTCTCCCTGGCAAGCTTTAGCCAAAAAGGTTTTCTATGAGTTCACCACATAGAAAACTTTACATGTATTTTCAACAGATTCACTGGTGTTTACCAGCCGTATACAAATATGAGTCTATCTCTCTTTCATTTTTCATTTATACTCAACTGGTCTTCTCCTCTGTTAAAACAAAACGGCTGGTGTTAGAAAGTCCAGTCGTTTTCCCCACAGGAAAAGTCATCTCAGAACTACCAAATGTCGTGCAAAAGTTGCGACCAAAAAAGAGAATGTCGTGTAGGAATTCAGCACATGCCAAAAATTTGAGACCAAAGCTGCAGAAATTCAGGGACCAAAGTAAGGTTTCACGTTTCCACCAAGTTTTGAGTGCAAAAATTTCAGAACATGACGAAGCAGAATTGAGATATATATGGCGTGAAGAATGGGCCAGTCAAACTCAATCCAGATTGCAGCCTTAAACCTCAACATATATGGCGACTTTTATCTGCTGTTTTATTGACTTCAAAATTGAGATATAAGAAAATTCCTATTAAGTCAACCCAAAAACGCGGTTCAACATTTTGTCAAACTTTTGGGATGTCAAGGTCCTTTGTAAACTAGAGAGTAAATAAACGCATATGAAATGTTAACAGAAAAACTAAGGCAACAGGGTTTGAATTCGTTTTCTTTGTGCCTGAAAATGCATGACATTTTAGAAAAAAAAACGTCTGTTTGCAAGACTCCTCTGTTCTGACCTCAATTATATACAGTTTGGCCTTCCGTTTTGTCTTTGTATATGCTAAACATATATTAACAAGAAAAAAAAAAAAAAAAAAAAAAAAAAAAAAACTCAATATCTTATCTTTTTCAATAAACGAATGTTTGCATAGAGAAAATGTGTCACTTTACAACATGTTTAAGTTTTGTAGCTCGAGTAGTTAAGAGTATTTGCCCCTGCACCCGAGGTCCTAACTTCAATTCCCCCCTTCCCCCAATATCGCTTGTATAAAATTTAAAAAAAAAGTTCTGTAAAGACATTAAAACTGAAGCAAGTCATAAGTTTACAAATAAAAAATTACACCTAACCTCTAGCTATTGTTCCTTCAGAAGAATCTGATATACTTGTCACACACGCAATGGCTCCAGAACTGAAGCAAAGGTAGACAAATCTGCCTTGCCATCTCCCATGAAATTAAGAGATGATGAAAAATACTCTGTATATTTCTAGTGATGATCAGATTATAGATCAGTAAGACCAATATGCTCTTCAGTGATCGGATTATCTTAGGGGAGAGAGAGCGAGAGAGAGAGACCAATATTCATCCTCAACTTCATCAACATCTTACTGTTCATTGTCATTTTCGATCTTCAATGCAATATATTGATGCCAATCTTAAGATTATCAGATTATCTTAAGAAGATGAATGAATTAAAATCTAAGGTTGATGGTTGAACTTTTGATGTTTTGATGCCCCTCTGCAGCAGACTGCAGAGTTTCGGGTTTAGGGAAATTATATGACTTTGATATTTCAAAGATATTTATCTATCTAGCCATAGCAATTTCGTTGTTATGACTAATGACGGTCGTGTCAAAAGGTTAGAAATAATTGAACGGGTCATGCCAGAGGAACCTGGGTTGCAAAATGAATCTTCAAGTTATATATATACAATGTATTGCTACATGCAAAATTCACCTTGGAAAATGCCATTTCATTTCGTTGCTGTTATTTATTATTATTTTGTTAGTGTTCTCTCTCGTTCCTTATTGCTTCGCAAACTGGGGACTAAAGAAGGAAAAAGCTTGGTGGGGAAGCATTTACAAGGACCTTGAAAGTTTGAAGTTTTGGCGTGTGCTAAACTTTTACACGATAATTTTAGACGCAAAAAAATTGAATTTCATAGTGATGACTCAAGACCTTGAAAGTATGGTATGTAGAATAACCAAGTGTACTTAATTATATTAACTAATCTCTCTATTTACCGTTATATTATTACGTAATTTGTAATTTTTTTTAGTACAAGCGATAGTCTAAACTACAGGAAGGGGGCGCACACAAAAAAAACTATAATGTAATGGGAATTTGAACCTAACACTGCTAACCCCAAGGGCTTGTTATTAATTACCATATATCTTCATTTGTATCATTTCATCAAGATCAAATTATACAAATGAAGATATAACCTCAAGTATATATACTTGAGCATATCAAGTGCATGCATTGTCAATAAACTTAATTATTCCTCGTTATGAATTGTTTATTTGAGTAATGTATGGTGACAGTTTTTCTTTCCCTATATATTACTTAATTACTTATTATATTTTGCAAATTCACCATTCAAAATGAGCTTCCAAAAGTGTTGGCTTGAATTTGTGGAAGCTAATTAATCTACCAAAGTGTGAGCAAACAACGTGACATCACCAATCAAAAGGAATTGAACCCAAGGCGAGCTTTCCTTTTCTCTTTGGCACCATCGAATTAAACAATAAGTTTATATTAAGTATAAATTGACCTGAAAGTGCTTTCTGAACAGATATGGTACTTGTCACTGTCCATACCACAACTCTCACAGGTGCTTCTGCTTATGTTACTATGAAGGTATTGAATCTGGTCCAAAATTTGCAGAGCAAGTAATTTCTGGTGTAGTAAAACAGGAAATTGCTTTTAAAATTAAATAGATAAGAAAATGGATTCGTTTTACATCTTTTGTTCTGTCTTAAAGATACAAGTACACATGCATGCAAAAAAATAAATTAAAAAGGATGAATTTTTATTCTGTCAAATTCATATACACTATGAAGCTGATACACATTATGTACAACTTACACAACTTACTATAAAGAACGAAAAACAAAAAGGCACAGCCGTGCATTTTCCTGTGCTTAATTATTCATTACCAAGAAACTTAAATTAATTAAACGTTCGAAACTAAAATCATTGGTTGATGGTTGAACGTCGATATGTAGATTCCCCCCTCTGCAGAGTCCTAGCTCTTGTTTGGTACTCTACTTCTAGGGATAATCGGACTATGGCCTTGGGGTGGGACAGGACGGTGACTAAGCATTCGCTTGATCAAAGGGAAGAAGGGAGGATTAATTTTAGAACTGCCCCTAATTTGCAGGACATCTTTCTTCATCCTCATCGTCAAGTTTTCTTCCCCATGCAACACTCTGCATGCCTCATATGAGTGCATGTTCATAAGAAAAACAACTACCATGGCCACCAGAACCATGTGTACAAACTTCATCGTGTTGGGAAAATAACAAAAAAATTTGCTTTTCCTGTTTGGGTGATCGCTGTGTATGCAAATGCAAGCAAAAGATGGAATGTATGAATGAATAATAGATGGGGGATATGAGGCCTTTTATATACAGATATGTATGCATCAATTCAATATGGACCAATTTACACATGACTTGAATTTTTGACTCTTGACGATTACGTTATTTTGTATATAGGGTTAGAATTGAATGAGTCGGGTTTTACCGTATTGTGAACTCATACTCCGAATATATCAAAATGCAAAACACCTTTTTTTTCTTCTTTTTTTTTGTTTTTGTTGTAATTCAAAATATTGTAGGTATAATTTATATTCGTTTACTTAATCTAGTATATTTTGCAATTAAGTTTTCCTGATTGAATTTTTATTTTATTTTAAAATAAAAAATTAGCAGTGCTAGAGGTATGTATTGACCAACCCTTGTTGACTTATTCTTCTCACTATTTGCTTGCACCGAAATGTTGTGGACTGAGATTTGAGCTTGGCGAGGAGGGGAGTGTGTACACGGCCTTTGAACGTTGAATGTTTTGTACTTGGAAGTATTTGTGTTGTTGTGTGTGGTGCTAACCCTTTTACACGACAGAATTAATATCTTAAATTGTAGTTGATTGGAAAATATGTTTTATTACCACAGCACCTATAGATAGCTGCAATATTTGAAGGTAAGGGTAATAAAAACATCATGTTATTGACTATATTTACTTGCTGGGGAGAATTCGATTTGAAAGTAAGGGTGATATTATTCTGTCAAATTCATACACATTGTATAGGTTTTTGTACAACTTAAAACAACTTACTAAAGAAAAGAAAAGAAAAAAAGACTCAGCTTTGAGGTATTTTTCCAGTGCTAAATTATGCATTACCAAGAAAATAAATAAATCCTTACCTGTTAGTGAAGTGCTAATTAGTTAAGGTTGAATTCATAGGAGTTTCATATATTGTATCAGTTGTTTTTCCAGACTCCAGAGATTAAATATAGATAAAGTTCTGTGTTAAATAGCTTTTTCTTTTCTTTCTTTCTTTTTCTCCCAGCGCATCCATCACTCTTTACCGGTGTAACATCTAAAATTTATCTGCTCAGTAGCGTCATATCTCAAAAGTCAGTGATTCTCATGTTTTCCCCCTGGCAAGGTTTACCCAAAAAGGTTTTCTATGAGTTCACCACATAGAAAACTTTACATGTATTTTCAACAGATTCACTGGTGTTTACCAGCCGTATACAAATATGTGTCTCTCTTTCATTTTTCATTTATACTCAACTGGTCTTCTCTTTTGTTAAAACAAAACGGCTGGTGTTAGAAAGTCCAGTCGTTTTCCCCACAGGAAAAGTCATCTCAGAACTACCAAATGTCGTGCAAAAGTTGCGACCAAAAAAGAGAATGTCGTGTAGGAATTCAGCACATGCCAAAAATTTGAGACCAAAGCTGCAGACATTCAGGGACCAAAGTAAGGTTTCACGTTTCCACCAAGTTTTGAGTGCAAAAAATTTCAGAACATGACGAAGCAGAATTGAGATATATATGGCTTGAAGAATGGGCCAGTCAAACTCAATCCAGATTGCAGCCTTAAACCTCAACATATATCTGCTGTTTTATTAACTTCAAAATTGAGAGATAAGAAAATTCCTATCAGAGTAAGTCAACCGAAAATCGCGGTTTAACATTTTGTCGAACTTTTGGGATGTCAAGGTCCTTTGTAAACTAGAGAGTAAATAAACGCATATGAAATTTTAACGGAAAAACTAAGGCAACAGGGTTTGAATTCTTTTTCTTTGTGCCTGAAAATGCATGACGTTGTAGAAAAAATAAGGTCTGTTTGCAAGACTCCTCTTTTCTGACCCATTCAATTTTTTAATGCTGTGCTTCACCTCAATTATATATAGTTTGGCCTTCCGTTTTGTCTTTGTATTGCTAAACAATAATTAACAAAAAATGGGGGGAAAAAAAAAAAAAAAAAAAAAAAAAAAAAAAAAAAAAAAATCAAACTAGTATCTTATCTTTTTCAATAAACGAATGTTTGCATAGAGAAAATGTGTCAATTTACAACATGTTTAAGTTTTGTAGCTCGAGTGGTTAAGAGTATTTACCCTGCACCTGAGGTCCTAACTTCAATTCCCATTCCCCCAATATCGCTTGTATAAAATTAAAAAAAAGTTTGGAAGAGACATTAAAACTGAAGCATGTTAAGTTTACAAATAAAAAATTACACCTAACCTCTAGCTATTGTTCCTTCATAAGAATCTGATATACTTGTCACACACGCAGTGGCTCCAGAACTGAAGCAATGGTAGACAAAACTGCCTTGCCATCTCCCATGAAATTAAGAGACGATATAAAGTACTCTGTATATTTCTAGTGATGATCAGATTATAAATCAGTAAGACCAATATGCTCTTTCAGTGATCAGATTATCTTAGGGGAGAGAGAGAGACCAATATTCATCCTCAACTTCATCAACATCTTACTGTACATTGTCATTTTCGATCTTCAATGCAAATATATTGATGAATTAAAATCTAAGGTTGATGGTTGAACTTTTGATGTTTTGATGCCCCCCTCTGCAGCAGACTGCAGAGTTTAGGGTTTAGGGAAATTATATGACTTTGAATTTTCAAAGATATTTATCTAGCCATAGCAATTTCGTTGTTTTGACTAATGACGGTCGTGTCAAAAGGTTAGAAATAATTGAACGGGTCATGCCAGAGGAACCTGGGTTTCAAAATGAATCTTCATGTTATATACAATGTATTGCTACATACGAAATTCACCTTGGAAAATGCCATTTCATTTAGTTGCTGTCATTTACTATTATTTTGTTAGTGTTCTCTCACGTGGAAAACTTACAGGTATTGTAATTAGAATCTAACAAATGTTCTCTCTCGTTGCTTGCTTCGCAAACTGAGGACTAAAGAGGAAAAAGCTTGGTGGGGAAGCATTTACAAGGACCTTGAAAGTTTGAAGTTTTGGTGTGCTAAACTTTTACACGATAATTTTAGACCCAAAAAAATTGAATTTCAAAGTGATGACTCAAGACCTTGAAAGTATGGTATGTAGAATGAGCAAGTGTACTTAATTATATTAACTAATCTCTCTATTTACCATTATATTATTACGTAATTCGCTTTTTTTTTAGTACAAGCGATAGTTTAAACTACAGGGGAGGGGGCGCACACACACAACTATGATGTCGTGGGAATTCAAACTTGAGTTAACACCGCTTTCACCACTTGAGTTAACACTGCTAACCCCAAGGGCTTGTTATTACCATATATCTTCATTTTTATCATTTCATCAAGATCAAATTATACAAATGAAGAATATAATTAACCTCAGGTATATATACTTGGGCATATCAAGTGCATGCGTTGTCAATAAACTTAATTATTCCTCGTTATAAATTGTTTATTTGAGTAATGTATGGTGACAGTTTTTCTTTCCCTATATATTACTTAATTACTTATTATATTTTGCATATTTACCATTCAAAATGAGCTTCCAAAGTGTTGGCTTGAATTTGTGGAAGCTAATTAATCTACCAAAGTGTGAGCAAACAACGTGACATCACCAATCAAAAGGAGTTGAACCCAAGGCGAACTTTTCTTTTCTCTTCAGCACCGTCGAATTAAACAATAAATTTATGTTAAGTATAAATTGACCTGAAAGTGCTTTTCTGAACAGATATGGTATTTGTCACTGTACACACCACAACTGTCAGAGGTGCTTCTGCTTATGTTACTATGAACGTATTGAATCTGGTCCAAAATTTGCAGAGCAAGTAATTTCTGGTGTAGTAAAACGGGAAATTGCTTTTAAACTTAAATAGATAAGAAAATGAATTCATTTTACATCTTCTGTTCTGTCTTAAAGATACAAGTACTTATATGCATGCGAAAAAATAAATTAAAAAGGATGAATTTTTATTCTGTCAAATTCATATACACTGTGAAGCTGATACACATTATGTACAACTTACACACTTACTATAAAGAACGAAAAACAAAAAGCCCCAGCCGTACATTTTCCTGTGCTTAATTATTCATTACCAAGAAACTTAAATTAATTAAACGTTTGAAACTAAAATAATTGATTGATGGTTGAACGTTGTTATGTAGATTCCCCCCTCTGCAGAGTCCTAGCTCTTTGTTTGGTACTCTACTTCAAGGGATAATTGGACTACCGCCTATGGGCGGGACAGGACCACTAAGCACTTGCTTGATCAAAAGGAAGAAGGGAGGATTAATTTTAGAACTGCCCCTAATTTGCAGGACATCTTTCTTCATCCTCATCGTCAAGTTTTCTTCCCCATGCAACACTCTGCATGCCTCATATGAGTGCATGTTCATAAGAAAAACAACTACCATGGCCACCAAAACCATGTGTACAAACTTCATCGTGTTGGGAAAATAACAAAAAAAATTGCTTTTCCTGTTTGGGTTTCTTTTTTTGTGATCGATGTGTATGCAAATGCACGCAAAAGATGGAATGTATGAATGAATAATAGATGGGGGATATGAGGCCTTTTATATATAGATATACATGCATCAATTCAATATGGACCAATTTACACATGACTTGAATTTTTGACTCTTGACGATTACGTTATTTTGTATATAGGGTTAGAATTGAATGAGTCGGGTTTTGCCGTATTGTGAACTCATACTCCGAATAGATCAAAATGCAAAACACCTTTTTTTCTTCTTTTTTTTGTTTTTGATGTAATTCAAAATATTGTAGGCATAATTTATATTCGTTTACTTAATCTAGTATATTTTGCAATTAAGTTTTCCTGATTGAATTTTTATTTTATTTTAAAATAAAAAATTAGCAGTGCTAGAGGTATGTATTGACCAACCCTTGTTGACTTATTCTTCTCACTATTTGCTTGCACCGAAATGTTGTGAACTGAGATTTGAGCTTGGCGAGGAGGGGAGTGTGTACACGGCCTTTGAACGTTGAATGTTTTGTACT